AGTTGCGGAAGTGGCGAGGGAACACGATGACCTCAGACCCCGAGGCTGGTTCCAAGGCACTGGGTATTGTGTGGAACACCGAGTCAGATTGTATTTCGGTGGCTGCGCTCGGTGATGTTGAGTGTCCCAAGGAAGTGTCTGGTTGGTCTCGTCGTGCGTTGTTGCGTTGTGTTGCCGCTGTGTTCGATCCGCTAGGTTGGGCGTCACCCGCAGTTGTGCCAGGCAAGATGATGTTGCAAGAGAGTTGGAAGCTCGGCGGTGGTTGGGATAACTCATTCCCTATTGATTTGGCTGTCCGATGTGCTTCATGGTGGGGAGAGCTCGCAGCGCTTTCTTCCGTTAAAATCCCCAGATGGATCGGGTGTACTCCAGATGCTCCAGTCACGTTGCATGTATTCTCAGATGCATCCGAGAAGGGCTATGGCTGTTGTTTCTATGTTGTGTCTGGTTTGACGTCTTCCTTGTTGTGTGCGAAGGCGAAGGTTGCACCTTTTGTACGTCCCACTCTTGCGCGTCTGGAATTGTCGGCTGTGTGTCTTGGCGTGAAGATGTTGTCCTTTGTCGTCAATGAATTGAGAGTGCCAATTGAAAGGATTGTGGGGTGGACAGACAGCCTAACCACATGGCACTGGATCTCAAAGCCGTCGTATCTCTGGAGGACGTATGTTGCTAATCGAGTTGCTGCAGTGCAAGAAGTTTCGCAGAAGCTGCAAGTAGAATGGCGTCACTGTCCAGGAGTTAGCAACCCTGCAGATCTTGTCTCGCGTGGTGTCCCAGTGTGTGACTTGCAGAAGGAGATGTGGCTGCATGGTCCGTCATGGTTGAGCGATGAGTCTCAGTGGCCACCAGTCATCTCGTTTCAGAGCACCAATGAGTCCGTCACCGAAGCACGCGTGTCGGCTGTGGAGGTTGACACTCCAGTTGTTTGGCCGTGGGAGAAGTTCTCCAAGTGGCAACGAGCTCGCGGTTTGGTCGCAAGTATGCTGTCATGGCGACACAAGGGTGTTTCGCGTGCAGAATTGATTCCATCTGCTGAGTCTGTGATGTTTCGCGCCATCCAAGAGCAATGCTTCCCCAAGGAGTTGTCCCAGTTGCGGAGCAAGGAGCCACTGAAGAAGGGTTCGAAGCTGTTCAAGTTGTCTCCGTTTCTGGATGAAGCTGGTTTGCTCAGAGTTCGTGGTCGTCTGCAGGAGAGCGATCTGTCCTACGAGGTTCAGCATCCGATCATCCTGGGCAGATGTCATCTAAGTGAGTTGTTTCTGCGTGATGCTCACCTTCAGCGAATGCACCAGGGTGTAGAGAGCGTGCTTGCGTTTCTACAACAGCAGTTCTGGATTCTCGGAGCTCGTCGGTTTCTTCGTAGCGTGTCGGAGAAGTGCATTGTTTGCCGCAGATTTCGCGCACAGACTGCTGCTGAGGAGATGCCGCCGTTGCCCTCAGACAGGGTGAAGCACCACCAGCCATTCGGTCTCACAGGTATTGATTATGCAGGTCCGTTGTACGTGCGCAGTTCATCAAATGTTCAGAAAGTGTGGGTCGCACTCTTCGTGTGCGGTACTACTCGCGCAGTGCACCTAGAGCTCGTGGATAGCCTGTCGACAGAGGTGTTCCTGCTAGCATTGCGTCGTTTCATCGCCCGTCGTGGGAAGCCGCTGCGTATACGTTCAGATAATGCTACGACGTTCAAGTCCGCCGCAGACAAGGTGGCAATCCCGTGGTTATTCAATCCGCCATCTGCCCCGTGGCATGGAGGGTTCTATGAGCGTCTGGTGGCATGTGTGAAAGCTCCCTTGAAGAAGGTTCTCGGTCGAGCGTCATTGAGTCGAGACGAGCTGTTCACTGTCTTGACGGAGATCGAGAGAGTCGTCAACTCTCGACCCCTCACTCCGGTTTCTACGGATGTAGCTGACGAGTCGCCGCTGACTCCAGCCATGATGTTGGGAGACATCTTTGCAACCGGTATTGCCTCGTCTGACAGACCACTCGATCCACGGCAGTTGTCCGCTCGAGTCAAGTATGTCCACACCGTCTACGAGCACCTCAACCAGCGTTGGTCGTCTGAGTATCTCATTCGTCTCAGTGAGTATCATCGGTCGAAGTCAACTCCGATTGTCGTGAATGACGTTGTGTTTATTGCCGACGACAACCGGAAGCGGCAATCATGGCGCTTGGGTAGGGTCGCAGAGCTGTATCCTGGAAGAGATGGCAAGTGCAGAGTGGCCAAAGTCCAAGTTGGCCAATCGTCCATGCTACGGCCCATTCAACGCTTGGTTCCGTTGGAAGTAGCGAAGGAGCATGTTGAGCCGCCTGCTGTGGACGCTGAGCCGCAGCCGCAGACACCCGCGAGCGCTGATCCAGTCAACGTCGTCGATGATGTTGAAATACCTTCGACGACCGTTGAACCGCAAGCTACGCGTCGATCTCGTCGTACCGTTCGACCACCACCTCGTCTTGATTTGTGATCAGTGTGGTTGAAGCCCTTTGGTGGGGAGAATGTTGTGTATCGTGTCGGAGAAAGGTCTTCTGGGGTGTCGTCGAGATCTCGTTGCGACCGTGACTCCGGCTTGTCTCCCTGGCTAGGTGCTGCTTGCTTTGCTTTTTTGCGTAGTGTTTTTGATTATTGTTTACTATTGCGTATTGTTAGTGTTCGTTGTGATTTGGTACAGTACTTGTTACGAGATACGACACATTGTGTAGTGTGTGTTTGCAGCACGAAGAAGACTGCACACCAGAACGGTTAGCTCAGGAGCTTGGGCTTACCTTGTGCAATCACAGTTCATCAGCTTGGACATTGCGCTTGGTCCCATGCGAATAACCGACTAGAATAGTAATTATTTCTTCGTAGCATTTTTGAATTGTGTTCTTGCTAGCTCGTTGATTTATTTAGTTGATGTGTTGATTGGTGTTTGATTACTTATTTATTTGATGCGCGATTTATGTGCGCTGATTGCGTGATGCCATGCAATTATGATCATGCTTGCGCCAGCTAGCTAGATGCCTGCGCCGCGCACTGATGTTGAATGAGTTAGTATGCGCCCCGCGCTGTTCATGCATATATGGTACATAGTGTGTAATGTTTGCCGCACACGCGTATACGTGCCTCGCCTCGTACTGCTTATGTGCCGCGCGCCGTACTATTGCTGTCGCTTTGCCGCCAAATTTAGCTTCCGCTTTCCGAGCGCTGTACGCTCTTCTGTACGCTCATGCCAAAGTTGGACGCACCTTGTCACCGCTTGTGGCTGGCCAGCGCTTTACCTATCATGCGTTGTTCTTTTCCTTGATGCTGTGGTTTTGTTTTTCTTTAGTGTTCTAGAGTTCTCTTTCCGATGTAGTTCGTATTTTTCCAGTCTCTTCTTCTCAATGTATTCTACTGTTCATTCATTATAGTCCGTAAAGAATTACGTGACCTTTTGTCTTGTGGCGTCTGTGCGATCCTGAAACTTTTGAGGTGTTAGTAGTGAACACAACAGCACCTCTTCTCGCGTCGTACGACGTAAAGGGTCCTGCAAGTGCTTCGCGCACTGCGGACTCCGTTATCCCTTTTTGAGGTCACGGCTTGACCGTGCAGCGCCCTACGGGGTAATGAGAGGGAAGAGCCTACGCGTATACGGGGCAGAAGATGAAGGGTGACCCAATCAAGACACCGTACGAAGGCGGCGCGCTCTAGCTGCGGCAACATCCGTCAGCGTACTCCAGGCTCCGTCGCACGATCGCCGTACGAATAACCTCGGACATCACGCATAGTTGTAACTCTTTCATGTAATGTGGGTGAGCGAGCTCCCCGTATTGATTGATCATTCTTTGTACTATATTCTAGTTTGGCTGATTGCACATATTGCACCACTGTTTGTAATATAGAAATAATCCTTACGCATTCTTGCCACTGTATACTTTTGATCACATAATGTAGCATATATAAGGAGCTGTTTTGTTAACATTCATCCTCGATTCTCGGGGAGCTCACTACTCCTCTCGATTCTGAGAGAGTCACTCCGACTCTCTCCTGCTTTAGTCTTTTGACTCTACACACTTGATCTTTCGATCTAGTACTGCAATGGTTCAAATAAACACTGTTCAAGTGGAATTAGAAACCTGTCGTTCTATGTGAGCTAGCAACTTGGATGGCGACTATATTGGTCGTCTACCTGGGTAGCCACTAGACTGATCTAAGCCAAGTCACAAACCCGCCAAGCGCGGCCCTGACACTACTAGGGTACAGTGGTTGCTACTATGGTGCAGTGCCCATGACAAAGTGCCTGAGTCTTTGAATGCCTTACTCGTTAGTTCAGCAGGTACATGTTTGACACAGGGTAGCTTGTCTCACAAGGTGGATGATGCACTGTTGACCGCAGTCCTCTGACTACTTCCAAAATCAGTTGCTAGGGCATTGGGTTTAAATTAGTGGTGATGATGTAGTGCATGGCTTACACACGATGCAACATAGCCTGGTCATGGCGCTGCTGGGTTGAAAGGAATTATGTTCTGTGCCTCATTACGGGCACAACATTATACTGGTTTTCTTCTCTTGGGAGACTTTGCTCTCGGGTTTATGTACTGGCACGAAATGGCCACCATGGCTGAGGTGGTGGCTGGCCGCTTTGGGCTCGCTTGTTCGCATTATGGCAAGCCGTTGGAGTGGTAATGGTCGGTTCTCCAGCCGAGGATGCCAGACCGCCATGACATTTCCACCGTATTTGCCATGACAACCATGCATAGCACAACACTGTCATCTTCAGCCAAGGAAATCGAAAAGACGATGTCCTAAAAAATGTCCATCCATAGCGGTGGGTAAATCCTTTCCACGCATCACCACGTGCATGGCATAGCTTTGTTCGATTTATGAGTTTGAATCCGCTTGTCACATGGGAACACTGTACCATGCCATGGTACAGCTATGGATGCGCAGCGAATAGCTTCAATTCTGAATGAGGCGGATAGTGCTTGACTTGGGTGTTGTAAGAATGTCGCATTTCTCTGGGTATTGAATGTGGCCACTGTAGCTGGACGTTGGTCGGCTGGCCAGCCAAGCTAGAAAGGCAGGTGGAGCAAGTCACTGTTAGTCAAGCGCATGATGAAGAGCATTTCAAGAAGAATCTCCTGACTGATCGGACGGATTATGTCGACAAAGTGGATGCTTTGGAGGTAAGTGCAAAATATTGCTGTGTACAATGATGCAAACAGGTGAAATGGCACGTTGACATTACTTTCTCCAGCAATGAGCTGCGATTTAATTATCCTAAGGGCTTGTCTTTGTTCCCTTTTCGCGTGGAACAAACACATCTATTCTGTTGTTGCTTTTTCGTAGCTGGCAGTGGCTGGATTCTCCGGCTACACTGATCTTGGGCGTGCGAAAGAAACCGCTGTGGAGGCTAGACGCGTTGCTGGTCTGCTCAAAGACTACCAACAACAGTCCCAGATCATCAATCAGCGAGAGAGGTTGTTTGAGTTGCCGGTGTCTTCGGTAAGTGAGGAAGTCAGTGTGTGTGTGTGTGTTCATGTGTGTGTGCTTGTGTGTATGTGCTTGTGTGTGTGTGTGTGTGTGTGTGTGTGTATGTGTGCATGCGTGCGTGTGTGGGTGTGCGTGCGTGTGTTTGTGCATGTACAGTATGTGTGTGTGTGGGGGGGGGGGGGGGTGTATGTGCGAGTGCTTGCATGTACGCCTGCACGTGTGGGTGTGTGGCACAGACACATGCACGAACACATGCACGAACACATGCACAGACACATGCAGGTATACATGTGTCTACGGACAATTAACCTAAATTTCTAATATCAAAAAAGTATTCTTTCTAGACCAAAGAGTGGTGGTATATTTGAGAAAATTTAATAACGATAGATATATATACGATACTTCTCCAGACGTTTCGTTGTTCTGAACAACATCGTCAGTGGATAAAGAAGCATTCTTTATCCACTGACAATGTTGTTCAGAACAACGAAACGTCTGGAGAAGTATCGTAAATATTTCTATTGTTATTAAATTTTATCAAATATACCACTCTTTGGTCTAGAAAGAATACTTTTTTTGATATTGCAATGAGAGTGGATAATCAACGGCTTGTCCACCAACTCCTAAACTTCTAACTCTAACACTATTATTCATTGGTTTGAGGGAAAAGATTCAAACGGGAAAAGTGTGAAGAAAAAATTGACTGTCACCACCAGGACGCGAACCAGGGACCCTCGCTTGTAGCCAGCGATGCTCTAACCACTGAGCTATGGTGCAGCCATCATCCCAGCAGAGATCGTTCAACATTCTCTTCAGACTTCGAAACTCATGCTTCCTGCGAATCCACACAGGCAAGTGGGATGCAGTCCTCACTGTAACTCACACACTTCACGTACAAACTAGCACGCGGGACTATTCTTTGCTGTTCGTTGACGTCTCCACTACCCACATGCCTCTTGTTGCTTGTTGAGCAGCACTCGTATTGGTTTGGTATTCCAACAATGACAACAACCACAACCGAGCCAACGAACAAACAATACGCATTCCACATAGGGTTTCAATTATCCATATAAAAATCGCTCTGTGAGCGGTTCTGAAAAACCTTTACTGGTACTGCCCCGTCGTAAAAGTAAGAAATTAGAACTGGCCCATTGTCCCCCCAAATGCGAACTGATCCACCTAAATCGCGAATGACGGGACCCGAACGCACCAGTAGCACGAGGTCGGGAGGGCACAGGATCACGGTAATTATCATAGGGTAACACCAGTAGTAGCAGTAGAATTTATTATTTTGATAGGGAAGCCTACCGCTAGTACAGTACATGGCTTATGGTCCGGACCAACGTCCCCATCTGCATCCACAGGTAGGAACCTCGTGCTACTGGTGCGTTCGGGTCCCGTCATTCGCGATTTAGGTGGATCAGTTCGCATTTGGGGGGACAATGGGCCAGTTCTAATTTCTTACTTTTACGACGGGGCAGTACCAGTAAAGGTTTTTCAGAACCGCTCACAGAGCGATTTTTATATGGATAATTTCAGCTCTTTTTCCGTTCCCTCCCCACCCCAACCCCGAAGGTAAACATGATGACCACACGCGCGATGTACTGTATGTAGCCATGCGACTGCAATAACACACTGATACATACCAGCCCTCCCCGCCTCGCTACCCCGCACACAGATACACAAACATGTGTATGCACACGGCACACACACGTGGCCACGCACACATACGCACATGCACACGACACAAACAGGAAATTCTTCATGTATAATGCCATGCAAAGCAGTGGCCACCGTACTTGAGGAAGTCAGTTGTGAAACAAAAATAATTCAACTACAGCGTGTAGACAAGCTGACGGCCAAAGCACAACATAGCAAACATGACATTTGCCCAATGATTGCAGTTTGCAGACCATGCCATGGAAGCAGCGAATACAGAATGTAATATCATACAAAGTGACAAGCAAGGACGTGGCCATCATACACCAGAAACTTGCAGAAAGTCACATATCCAACAGATAGAGAAGTGAACAGCAATCTGATACAGCCCACACAGGACAAAGCGGACCTGATACTCGTCCCAGGATCGCAAGTGGCAAACCCTTTTCAATGCATAACATGCAGGTGTACGTTAGACGCATGAACATCTGACCGTGTCGCCAGCATACAATGTCATCACATGTTTACCCCACAAGTTACACACATGCACAGTAGAAGCACAATGAAAGCAATGGAAAAGTACGATGTGGTTGCTGAAGCATCTTCACACTTCAAATTCAGACTTCAATGTGGTCGTCACGGGATGATATACCTGCAAGATACAAGTGATGAAGAAAGAAAGCAGAAGGTCGTGAGGTAGGCTATGAGACACCACAAACGGTTCACCTACATGTCTGTTCAGGGCTAGTGCACTCACACGGAGAATTGTCATAATCGAGCATTTCCCAAACTGAGAAGTGCAATGAAATCCACTTGCATGCACAGGAGCAATTTTGCAATATTATGATGCGCAATTCGACACGATCTGCGATGCTGCGTGCGATGTGCCCTACTGTCATGATAGTGACAGTCACCGCAGTATGTTTTGTCAACGTCGCCCGTGCACTCTTCTGTCAAGTCCAAAGTGCTCACATACTTGGCAATGTTTTTGCAGTGATTAACTTTTATCCTAGTGTCACGGGTAACTTTAATGAAGTACCCGCAGGCCGTGTCGATCTGCACATCGTCCACTCTCTCATGTACTTGGCCTGCTTTGTCTGTGTATCCATTTCATGTGCGATCCACAAAATCGACTAGACAGTGGGTGCAATACGCGCTCTACCTGAAGACGTTCTTCTGGCGACATCTCGCCATGTACTTGGCCTGGCTTTGTCTGTGTATCCATTTCATGTTCGATCAACAAAATCTCAATGCACTACAGAGACTAGACAGTGGGTGCAATACGCTCTCTATCTGAAGACGTGAACCATTAAGTTTTTTGGAAAAGTTATACGTACACCTGAAACGTAATGAAGTACAGGAATAGAGAGAGTGACTACAATACGCTCTCGACCTGATATAGTGATAACGTGAGTACAAGACACTCTCCACCTGATAACGTGTTAGAAGGTAACATGTCTACAGTCCCACCGTACCCTTCCGACACGACTGTAGACCATTAATTTTTTTTGAGAAGTTATACGTACACCTTAAACGTAATGAAGTACAGGAATAGAGAGAGTGACTACAATACGCTCTCGACCTGATAACGTGAGTACAAGACACTCTCCACCTGATAACGTGTTAGGCTGTGTTTATATGAGAAATTTCAACCCGGGTCGAGTTCAGCCCGGGTTGAAAGTCTGTACGATAGACAAAAGAGGTGAGTGTTTACATGAAGACAGTTGACCCGGGTCAAATACTGATATGCCGCCAAAAGTCCACTTCTACAGTCCTGTATGGTCACGTGAATCCGTTCGCGCGAAATTTGCATCTGCAGTGCCGTTCAAACCTGGCGCGAGATACGCACAGAAGTACGTTTGTACGATTTTCTTGACCCGGGTTGATTTCAACCCTCCCCTTGGGGGGAGGGTTGAAATCAACCCGGGGCGAAATTTCAACCCGGGTCAAGCGCAATGCGTCATGTGAACGCGCCATTCATTTTGTGCACATGGCGGGTTGAAATCTGACCCGGGTCGAACTCAACCCGGGTTGAAACGCTTCATGTAAACACAGCCTTAGTAGAAGGTAACAGGTCTACAGTCCCACCGTACCCTTCATCATTCCTCATTCCCTGGCACACACTGGCAACATATCAATGGGGTGCCTTACCGTCGTCTAGAGGAGACGTCTTCGCAGCAATATTTTCCCTCCTGCGCATTCAGTCGCCGACGCGACAGCGTTCACGGGGCCGTTCCAGTTGCGGAAGACATTCGATTCATCGGGCCAATTCAGCAACAGGGCCGTGGACACACAGGGGGCAGAGGAGAGACATTGTTAGTGGACAAGAAATATGCAGTGGCAAGTGGCGAGTGCCGCATGGATGTCAAGTTGTCATGCACAATTCAGCTATTACTTACGGTCCAGCTAGTCCTGCCATTGCTCGCTCGTCCTGGTTCCTCCTCGTTCGTCTTCCTGCACGTCTGCACTTCTCCTTCCCCACCGTTGGCTTTGCGGTACGGGGGTGCCGGAAGGAATTCCCACATGTACATGAAGTCCCACCATGACTCTCCATGTACATGTCCACGGCCACGTCAGCAGTTTTATAGTACCGGAAGGAGTTCCCACGATGTCTTCAAAGGCCTAGAGCGGACGTCTTTGCAGCAATTCTTTTCGCCCTGCGCATTCAGTTCGCCATGTCTCCAAAGGCAAAGGCCTAGAGCCTAGTAGAGGGGACGTCTTTGCAGCAATTCTTTTCACCCTAGTACCCTGCACATTCACTCCGCCGACACGACAGCGTTTACGGGGCCGTTCCAGGTGCAAAAGGTCCACGTCAGCAGTTCTCAACTAGTTCGCGTACGGGATAGTCGCCGCGACAGCGTTTAAGGGGTCGTTCCAGGTGCAAAAGGTATCCATCAATGGCACTTTGCAGTATGGGGTACGGAAAAGGGGCTTCCTCGTTCGACTTCGTCGACTTCTGCAGCTATGCAGTTCTCCTTCCCGTCAGGGGTACCGAAAGGGGCCTCCTCGCAGTTGTCCTTGCCGTCAGCTCCACGTCATGCAATTCTCAACTATTTCGCGTACGGGATAGTCGTCTTTGTCGTACGCGACATCGGCGTTTACCGAGTGGCATTGGCACAAAGCAGACCGTTGACGGGGTCACGTGTCAAAAAAGTATCAACAACGTGTCGACTACGTGTCGACCACGTGTATAGCGGTACACTCAGCGGTACACTAATTCTCGTGCCATTCTCGTGTCACAAAACTGGAACATCGAGTACCAGTATGGAAAGGCTTCAGACAGGAAGCCTTTCCAATAATAGGCTATGTTGAAAGTTGGTAGCAGTCTGTGTGTATGCACTGTTATAGGTTTACCAATACTTTCTTCTGCTGCTGGTTCTGCTGGTGCTACTATTTCTGCTGGTGCCGCTGTACAGAATGAGAAATTGATGAAGCTGGTACGTATGTTTGAGCCCTACAAGAACCTGTGGATCACGGCAGCTGATTGGCTGGTGTGGAATGATGCTTGGAACAATGAGCCACTGACAAACATTGATCCAGAGTCGATGGAGAGCAACGTCAGCTCTTCATTCCGAACTATGCACAAGGTAGGAAAAGCATGCTTGCTGACCACTACCGACTGACCACTGCTTTCCTGGACTTTTGCTGGGTTTAGTCTAATTTCTCTTGATTATTCCTCTGGCATCATCATACAGTGGAACCTGTCTAAGACGACCGCTCATGGGACCTTCCGAACGTGGTCTCTGTTACCAGGGTCATTTGACTGGAAATAGCATCCCTTAGTCCTGGTTTCAGTGGTCTTCTAGGACAGGTGGTTGCCTTATTCGAGTGGTCGCCTTGACAAGTTTTACTGTATTTGCAAAGTACAAGGCCGTCACAGCTGGGGCGGCTGGGGCGGCTGAGGCCGCCCCACTTTCTCGGCCGTTTTTTTTTTTTGGAGCACACTCTATGCATGATCGCAGCTCAGCCCAAACCTGGCAAATAATGAAGAATCCTTGTCCCCGATCGTGGTTTATTGCAGAATCAAAAAAGTCTTTCATTGCACTCACAACACACTGAAATGGCACCAAATGCCTGGAAATGCTTGCAAATTGGCTTCAATTTTTGAAATTTTTCCCGTGGGAAGATAATGAAGAACCCATGTCCCCGATCGTAGCATCTTCTTGGTTTGTTGCAGAATCGAAAAGTCTTTCATTGTAGTTACACTGAAATGGCACCAAATGCCCGGAAATGCTTGCAATTGGCTTCAATTTTTGAAAAATTTCCCGGGGGACGACCCCCAGACCCCCCTTCCAAGGCCACCCCACCTCCAAAGTCGGTGCGACGGGCCTGAAGTATTATAATTTATAATACAGAACGTCATCATATACTTCAGCAACCAATTGCAAATGGCTTACAGATGCTGAGATTGACATGCCGGTATCCGTATTATGCGTTGGTGTTGCAGTAATATGATCATAGTTAGTCTGTACCATATGGACTGATGATTTCCCAATGTCTGTGCAGTGCTCCAACGTGCACCAACTGCTCTTCAGGAAGTTTCAGTGCTTTCTCAGAGGTTGATGAAAAGTGGCAATTCTATTTGGGGAATGATCCGAAATCTCCAGAGCAATTCCAGCCCGAATGTTCTTAGTAACTTCTTCCAGAGTTCTATCTAGGAAAAAATAGCAGGAGGAGTGGGCAAGGGAAACAAACACCTGCCCCATTCCCCATTTCCCCCATTTTTCACATCATTCCTTGTCACATGAAAGTGCAACGTATGGGCGCAGCATGTACCCTGAACTATCGATTTGTGGACGCATTCTCGTTGCGTGAACTTAAAAAAATTAAAAAATGAGTAAGGGGTACTCCATCAGAGCAGGGGGGGGGCGGGGGGGGGGGGGGGGTGCTGCACTTGTGCCCTGCTTACTTTGGCTAGAGCCTTATTCTTAGAATACTTGTAGTTCTCATAATCCCAGTATTAGTTCCACTTGTGACTATCCAGTCACGGGCTCTGTGCATACGATATACATGTACGTGTGTGTGTGCTTGCTTGTACATGCTTGCCTATCCCTAGTGTTCCAAGCTTTTCAAGGACAAACCAGGTTGTCAAGGCGTTGCAGACGAGATCAAGCGTCAGATCGAGGAGTTCAAGCCCTACGTGCCGCTCATTCAAGCTCTAAGAAACCCAGGCATGCGTACTCGCCACTGGGATCAGGTGAGAAACGCAGCCATGCATGGCCACCTCGGGGTTCGGGCACAGCTCTGGGATATGTCAAGTGACTTGGATGCTTCCATTTGTGTGTGCGAAATGCGTTCACAAAGTTAGTGCAGGAAGAGAATTCTTCATCCTCAACCCATCTCCATCTCATGCTGTTTTCCACTGTCTACCATCGCTGAGTCACTAGTATGCACTGTGCTCATTCTCGTACTGCTCTCTGTTCACTCATGTCTTCTGCTGCAGCTTTCAGCTGACCTTGGCTTTCAAGTGCGCCCCAAGCCATCATTCACCTTTCAGAAGTGCTTGGAGATGAAGATGGACGAGCACATTGATGTGATATCCAAGGTGGCTGAGGTCGCCGGCAAGGAATTCTCTATTGAACAGGTATGGCCGCTGCTGGACTTGCTCTATTTGGTCGTGATCATTGCATTGTGAGTCATCATGTTTAGGAGTTCTGCTGCTGTTTTGAATTGGCACACTTTTGAGTTGTGGGGAAATCGATGTGGTGAAGCATATTTTTCATGGGCTTGGTGTTCTTGGTGTTTGAGAGTTGAAGCATCTAGAGAATATAGCGAGTAGCGACTATTTTATAGCTCTCCAGGCAGCACCCTATCTCTGTCTTGTCTTGAATTTCGTTTTCCATTCCGATTGTGTGTAGGCTCTTGACAACATGGAGGATCAGTGGAAGGCGATTGTTCTGGAAATTATAGCATACAAGGAGACCGGAACGTCCATCATGCGCGCCAGTGAAGAATGCTCGCAGCTGCTTGATGATCACATAGTCATGACACAGAGTATGGCGTTCTCACCGTACAAGAAGCCATTCGAGCAGCGCATCAACGCCTGGGAGAACAAGCTGAAAGTCACACAGGTACAAACCCGGTGCCTTTATCCTTCATGCGTCGCGCTCATCTCTCTTTAGTGTGAAGCTCCAAACCAGGGCAATTGCTTTGAGCAAATTACAGAGTATTTTGTTGACTTCCTACAGAGTATGCATGTTTGGCAGCGTTGCTGAACACACTCCTTGATACAACATCTCTAGTCCAGGTTTGTATTCTGCATGTCCACTGGCAACCTCGGCATGGCACTTGGCTACTACTCTACATTCAAAATGGTTGCATTGGTAGTATTCACGAATGAATACTGTCAGCGTCGGTTGGGTTTTGGTTGGTTGGTTGGTTCTATTTAGTGTGACAGTAACAACAACTTGTTCTGATACTGCTGGTATGTGCTATGACTGTAGGATGTCATGGACGAGTGGGTGGCCTGTCAGCGTTCCTGGCTCTATCTGGAGCCAATCTTCAGCTCTGATGACATTATGCGCCAGCTGCCGGTCGAAGGCAAGCGCTATCAGACGATGGATCGCATGTGGCGCAAGGTCATGAGCAGGGCTAAAGAAGAACCAAGGGTAAGCTGCGTGTTGACAGCAGTACTGAATGTGTTTATCACCTTGCTTCAGTGGACCATATCATCATTAGTCTGTGTTTTACACTCCACTCCATGACCAGGAGATCGCTCAATAACCCATTTCCTCAGTGTTAGCACTCATGGCGTCCTACCGACGGACCCAAGAAATTGCTCTCCAAAAGTGCTATTGGCGAAGAATTTTCTTGCCAAAAATTGTTGAACTGAGGTCTTTGTGACTCAAAGCAATGGAGCATAAATGCAAGACTATGCCGGTCCAGTGCTCTGCATATGTGCAGTTTTAACAATTGTCGAAATGGTCCCACTTGCTCCGCTTGGTGCGCTAGCAACTATGTCTAAAGTGAATTTTGTCCATGGCGTACTGGAAATGAAGAACCCTTACGGTCTTTCTCAGCTTTCCATGACAACAGTGTACGAAATTCCATACTCCACTTCCGCTGTTGCCATGGGCTGTTGTCATGGAGTTTCACAAATATGCCTTGGAGGAGCACCTCTATAATTTGTCGATTCATCCATCAGTCACTTAGCAACAGTTTAGGGTCAAGTTTTGGGTAAAGGATAGAACGCAGGCCCGTACAACATATCTGTGTATGATGGTCCTGCCGGCAGGACGTGCAAGCTATCATTAACCCTTTAACCGTCAGACCATACATTTGTGGGTCGAATTCGACCCATCATTTGAAATACTCGCGCTGGAATGATTTTTTACCCACGATAGAAAATTTACTATCGATTCGGTCGCGAATTTTCCAGGCTTTCCATTGCAGAAATCCGCGTTGAGCTACGATGTAGTGGAGCAGAGTTATCAAGCTCTGAGTACTGCACGCTTGTCACTTCCGCTGCGCTGGGCGCGCGGCTGACGTCGTCACGGGATTTCCCCATTTCTTCACGCGCTTTGTGACTGTTGCTCGCGACCAACGTATTCCTCACGAAATGCTCGATCTCTCAAAAAAAATTTGAACTCTACGATGAAGGAGACAGCCATGGCGGAGTTTTGAACTTGTCATTTGCATGCCTGGCGTTGAGACGACGTCGCTGCGTTCCAGCGCTGGTTGTGTGACTGCTGAGGCGAAGAGTGTGGTATCATCGTGCTGGTCTCGTCCAGAGCTTTCTAACGAGCCCAAGATTATAAAAATCGAGTGAGTACAACTAAAGTTATGACCTGGCAAAGTTGAAATTTCGTTCGGCGTTTCAATGGGTGAAATTTATATGACGGTTAAAGGGTTAAAGCTTGATTGCAGATACTTTCTTTTCTTTTCTTTCCTGTTTTGCCTGCAGGTCATTGTTCTGTGTCCGGACAACACTCTTCTAGAGAGTCTGCGTGAGTGCAACCGTCTTCTGGATCAGGTCCAGAAGGGACTGAGTGAATACTTGGAGACGAAGCGCTCCGCATTCCCGCGCTTCTACTTCCTCTCCGATGATGAGCTGTTGGAGATTCTATCGCAGACCAAGGATCCTACTGCTGTTCAGCCTCACTTGAGGAAGTGCTTTGAGAACATAGCCAAGGTGAGCCTGTCATGCTTTGAAGGGCTTGTTGCTTAGCTATCATATTATACTACACACCGGAAGATGAGAGTTAGCTATCCGGTGTACTTGTACAGGTAGATGAGCGTTGGAGTGCTCTTTCGGGGTTGCTGGGGTCGGCATGGCGTTTCAGGTAATATGCCGAGCAAGTCACATCTGCATGTGCTACATGTGTGTGCAGATGGTTTTGAATTGATCGGGCGTGTCCTCTGTCTATACCCACTTCTCCTGCCAACTGCTGCTGACTTATGTTGCGTGCCACTTCAGCTTACCTTCCTAGAGGATCTGAAGATCACAGAGATGTTCAGTAGCGACGGTGAGAAGGTGCCGTTCAGCGAGGAGCTGTATCCAACGGGCAATGTGGAAGACTGGCTGCTGGAAGTCGAGCGTGTCATGCGTGCAAGCTTGAATGACATCCTACGCCGTGCTCTGGAGGCATATCCAGTGGTACGTAGTCCAGGTTCTTACTGTGCACTCAGCTGATGTAGCCAGTCCCGTGCTGTGTATTTGCTGGATGATTGTGGAAATGACACACATCGCTGTAATTCCCCGCTTTGTTCCGGTATTGTAACGAGGAGACCTCGTCAGGCGAAATAGTACGTCATCGTACATTTGAGATCAGCGGGAAGAAGATGACGACGTCCACTAATTTAGTATCTGTGCACACGAATCTGCTGTGTGTGTGACTCTGTGTGTCAGCTATGATATCATCTTCTGTGGTTCCATGCCTAGCATGTACGTCTAAACCATCCTGCAAAGTTTGAATGACGTAGGTTGAGCGATCGCTCCGCGAAATATACTTTTTGAAATTCTCTTCATAGTATATCTTCCACCATTGAAATTTCGAATTTCTTCAAAAAAAGTGCTGAGAGGGGTGCCTTGCAACCTCGATATGGCTTGTTCCAGGCATGCTTTGGAGCCATCTTCTGTTGAAGTAGTGGCGGGGATCTGCCCTGCAACTGCTACAACAAAAAATGATTCGATCTGAGAAAGGGTGAGACCGCGAATCTCGGTTGAATATTGAGTATTTCAAGCCTTTTCACGACGAAGATGGAGTTCTTTTTGGAGATGGACGTCGCGGCAAAGGACATGGTGTCCGACGTCTGGCGTCTGGTGAAGCCAGGGATCATTTGTCCAGTCAGGTCGGCAGCCTAACCGTCGGTAAGCTTGTGTTTGGATCCCGTTCTGCTCGATGTGGTAGATCACAAACAATTTGATATCGCACAAATTGATCTCAGCATCGTGCGTACGGTATTTTATATTCAGAAAATCCCAAAGTGTCTCTGTGTGGGCGTCCTATGCCACGAGAAACTCCAATCAGGCTCCTATGTCCTCTGCCTTCATGATTGAATGTCCACTTCGTTTGAACAACGAACACAACAATCGAGGACGGCTTTGCAATGAAAAATACAGCTATACTGGAGCTGAAAAAAAGAAGAAAAAAACGTGCTCAGGATGAGACTCGAGTACACGCATACTCTCCCAGCAGGTGAAACACAAATTTTTGTGAAAAATGCGTGACGCCGACTGACCAGTAATTTCGCCTGACGGCAATGGGTGCGAAACAATCCCACATCATCTGAAGTTCTGAGGTGATCTAAATCAGACTCTAGATAGGTATGTGTGTGTGTGTGCACGCGTGCGCGTGCGTGTGTGTGTTGACAACTTGCAACAGTCTCTATCATTGTCTCTTTGTGTGGTGTTAATGTGACCGTAGACACCACGAACAGAGTGGGTGCTACAATGGCCAGGTCAGATTGCCATTGCTGGCTGTCAGACGTTTTGGACATCAGACGTGACCGCGGCCATCGAAGCCGATGAGCTTGCGGCGAGCAAGATGAACCTGGACAACCAGGTATGCGGTGTGGAGTGCGGAACCGACTACGACATACACTGTTTCACGGATGGATTGATACCAGTGCTTTAATGTTTCATGCTTTCTAGCAGTTTACTGTGCTGAGAGAGTGATGTTGTTCACAATTTCTAAGTATGTTCTCGGCACCAACGCTAATGAGGATACTGGTGGAGTTCTGACATCATTTACGGTGCGGAAAAGGGTCAACACTGACTTGTGTCTTGCTTGTATGATTCATCTTCTGTAGCTGGCTGACCTGGTGGCCTTGGTGAGAGGCAACCTGACTCGTATGCAGCGCTCAATCATGTCAGCGCTCATTGTCATCGAGGTTCACTCCAGGGACGTCTGTGCCAAGATGGTCGGCGAAGACGTGAAGAACGTCAATGACTTCGAATGGATCAGTCAATTGAGGTACACATGCCATGTCTCTGAATACCGAGTAAATCAGAGCAGCTTCGCAGTCTGTGCACACTGGTACAACATGCATCTGCTACCCTCAAGTTTGTTTCTTGATACTATGTTTAAAAACGCACTGATTCACGGGGACTGTACGGTGCTACTCCAGGAACATCTGGTTCTGAAAACAGGACTCTGCCGTATTCAGCCGCACATTCTGTTGCAGGTGTTTTGAGAATATTTTGTAGCTGGTGCAGCAGTCATTGGTAACAAAGTCCTAGAATCTAGATTTAACTCAAGAAGACTGTTTCAAGCAAGTTTCTCGTGAGTTGTGTCTGGCTGTACCATGTGGTTGCACATAATGGACTGTGCTATGCCATGTAGCCATGTAGCTACGTAGTGTCGTACTATCATACTGTACTATGCCATGTACGAGTGTCATACTGTCATCCATATGCTGGTGCGGCGGTGCTCTACAATGATGTGTGCTGCTTGTATTGGTTGCATGTGATGTGTGCTGCCTGTCCTGGTGCATGTGATGTGTGCTGCCTATATTGCTTGTATTGGTTGTATTTTACAGGTACTACTGGGTAGAGAACAATCTGTTCACGCGCGCCGTCAATGCAGAGTTTGAGTATGGCTACGAGTACCTGGGTAACTCCGGTCGGCTCGTCATCACACCACTGACTGATCGGTGCTATTTGACACTAACCGGCGCTCTGCATCTCAAGTTTGGTGGAGCTCCAGCTGGTCCTGCAGGAACAGGCAAGACAGAGACAACTAAGGTGTGTCATAGCGTACATCCGGGATGTTTTGTGATTAAAGTGCTGTTGCCAATAGTCGCCAATCTATTCTATTGCATGACCTTTAGGCCGTTTATTGAAACAAGTATTCTTTTACTGAAAACTCCACAGACACAACATTCATTACGATCTGGTCTTCAGCAGCCACAGTGACATTCTTTCAGCAAGTAGCTATCATGACTGTAGGATATGACTGTAGGATATGACTGTAGGATATGGGTGTTAACGTCTACAGAGAGCATTCTGCTGTGTGGGTTGGATTGACAGGTAGTCTTGTAAATTGCTGTGTGCACTTGCAGGATCTTGCCAAGGCCATGGCTATCCAGTGTGTTGTGTTCAACTGCTCTGACCAACTTGACTTTATGGCAATGGGAAAGTTCTTCAAGGGACTGGCTAGCGCTGGTGCTTGGGCCTGCTTCGACGAGTTCAACCGAATCGACATCGAAGTGTTGTCCGTCGTTGCTCAGCAGATCACAACCATTCAGCTCGCTCAGCAACAGAGGGTATTATACCGTGTTCTGCTGCTATAGTATTAGCTGTCCTGACTAGTGTGGCTAGGGCTGAGCTGTGATCGTGTACATGTACATTCCACGTAACTTGTATGACAATTTGAAAAGCAGTGTGAAGAGCCTGAGCGCTCATGGGTGATATGATTGTCTGGAGTCTGTTCATGTATTTTTTCTCCCCACTCATCAAGTTCTAATGATTCACGGTGCAGGCTGCATGTACCCATTTGATATACATGTAGGATTATGTAGTTAATGGGCGATAAAGAGAACATATGTGCAATGCATATCCTCGGTAGCTTCCGGGGGGGGGGGGTTCATCCTGAGTTGCTTCCGGGGGGGGGGGGTCATCCTTTGTAGCTTCCGGGTATGTTTGAACTTAAGTCCTATCCTTGACGTCTTCACCCGTGTATTGTGATTTTCAGCTGGACCGGTTCCTGTTTGAAGGAGTTGACATCGGTTTGAAGGCATCGTGTGCTGTCTTCATCACCATGAATCCTGGATATGCAGGACGCACTGAACTGCCGGACAATTTGAAGGTATGGGGCATGTCAACCGAACTGTACTTTTCCAAATGCAGTGTTTCTTCTTCTTCATAGGCCATCGAAGGTTAAATGCCCTTCGATCATTTTTTTTTCTCAGAAGAGTCCAAACACAGAAATCCAGTGACTGTGTTGCAAAGTACTGTTGCCGGTGAATCCTCCTAATGTTTCAGGTTGTGGAAATCATGATAACCTTGTTATCAACTAGCCGAAATTCATCAGCTTTAGTTCGGCACACGGGGAAGTGAATGTTGATTTCTGTGAGCAACATGCGTTAACTCGCACTGTGATGCTTTGGGCGGTTCAAGCACATGCCTGTGACGTTGGCTGATAGTTGCATCTCAACTATGATGTACATGTACAGTCCACACATGCAAATTAGGGGTGAAACGGTTCCATGTTTTTCTTGTTCGGGCATAGTTTTCCACGGTGCGGGTATCGGTTCCATGTACTCTTTTCTCCAGACCGACAAAATGCGTTCGTGACAACAATTGTTTTTGAAAACATGTTTACGAACAAGAGCGAGACATCGGAGAGTCCATGTGCGAAGAAGATAATGACCAGGGGAACCCTTTGGTCCTTGGAAGAGCGATGATCGTAAGGTACCATATTAGTAGACTTGACGCGTACATGCATTTGTAAGAGAACGAAATTTTTCGAGTTTCGGTTCGAAATTTGACGGAACGGGTACCCGATTCTTTTCAGCTGGCGGTTTCAAAACCGGTTCCTTACCCGAACCGTTTCACCCCTAATGCAAATACATCACTTCCTTACCCGAACCGTTTCACCCCTAATGCAAATACATCACTTCCTTACCCGAACCGTTTCACCCCTAATGGAAATACATCACTTCCTTACCCGAACCGTTTCACCCCTAATGCAAATACATCACTTCCTTACCCGAACCGTTTCACCCTAATGCAAATACATCACTTCCTTACCCGAACCGTTTCACCCCTAATGCAAATACATCACTTCCTTACCCGAACCGTTTCACCCCTAATGCAAATACATCACTTCCTTACCCGAACCGTTTCACCCCTAATGCAAATACATCACGATCACCCTTAGGTCACAGTAGGTGTTACAGAAACTGTTTCGACAATTCCCGGACGATGTTAGTGTACGCCATTGCTAGCATTCTCCTTTTGCAATGATGTAGGTTTGGGAACTTGATATATTTGCCTGCTGAATGTACTCTCTTTCTCTCACTTTCACATCCATATGCACGCACACATGCACACATACATGTGCGATTGTAGGCATTGTTCCGTCCGGTGGCTATGATGGTGCCAGACTACGCTATGATAGCAGAAATCATGCTCTTCTCGTTTGGATTCTCCGACGCCCGTGTCATGTCCAAAAAGATCACCACCACATTCAAGCTGTCATCGGAACAGCTCAGCTCTCAGGTAAGTTGATAAGGGTCGACAGGTGTGTTGTTCATTTGTCTTCTCCACTATCTTGAGATAAGTTTTGTTGCTGCAGTGTCATCATTGCCTGGTGCTATCATGTTGCCCAAATCTCGGTGTCGAACACTGATGGAACTGTACTTTTTGTGCCTGTTTCTTTTTTGTGCATAGGATCACTATGATTTCGGTATGAGAGCTGTGAAAACTGTCATATCGGCCGCTGGCAATCTGAAGAGAGCTAACCAAGACATGGATGAGGTGAGTGGTTGGCATGTGGCTGGGTTGATCACGTCTATACCGGCACACCCACGGTCAACTGGGCACTCGCTACTCGGAGTGAGGGTAATGTGGCTGCAGCTAACGATTGCCCCCTTGCCGGGCACTGATTGAGAGCTTACCATCTCATCCTCGCTCTCAGGCGCTGCATCTGCCACCTTGGCATAATCAGACACGGTGGTGGCCTGGAACTAGGGAAACTTCTCTAAGCTGGTGGTGTTTCTTAACACAACTATATACCCGGTGGTAACGAGGGTGTGTGAACTTTGCTTTACTTGTACCTGTACATGTATAGGCTGTGGATGGGTGCAGCGCATACACTGCCTTTCACCAGGGTATTGGAGACCCTTGGTGTAGTGTTCACGTGTTCCTACGCGCTGTGGCATTCCTTGGCCACTCCAGACATTCATGATGCATGTAGTAGTAGTAGTACATCGTGATGTTATGCATGTAGCATGTGCCGTTTCCCGCGCGCGCGTGAAACGGACTTCGCGGCTTTTAGTTGCTGTGCATGGTTTGACTCTGGACTCTTGTTGTTTTGGACTGAAGAAGAAACAATACTACATTGGCGCTGCGAGCTATTTCGTTCCTCCGCGGCGAGCATGGGTGACCGACCACCCGCCATTCCGCCCCCTGGACCTTTTCCTATTTATGTCTCCCTCTACGATGCCGCCACGCGCTGGCCCGCCTGGACACGGAGTTTCAAACTTTATCTTGCTGCGTCCAAAATTGGCGATGACGACCAACAGCGTGGGCTACTCCAGTACCTGGGAGGAGACGACATCCAGCAACTCGTGCCCACTCTCAGCAACACAGGGGCAACATTCGACGACCTCGCCAAAGCATTGCAGGACGAGTTCGATAAACACCAAAACAAAACGCTCCTCAGGTTCAATTTCCGTCAGCTTCGTCAACAGCCGAACGAGACTATGGAGGGTTTCTGTTGTCGTTTGGGCGACCACGTGAAACGCAGCGGCTTCCCGGATACAGCCGCGGAGAAATTGGCTGTCTTGGACCAGCTGATCATCGGCTGCAAGTCCGACGCCCTTCGGCGAAAATTGCTGGAGATCGATGGCCTCGACTCCGACAAAGCTCTGAAAGCAGCCCGCGCGTATGAGGCCAGCATCACCCATGTACTCGCCATCAAGGACGCCTCTCTGGGCTCTTCAGTGGCTTCACAGCAGGACGCCCACGTCGCTTCCCTGGCGTCAGCAGCACCCCAGCCTGCCCATGTGGATGCCCTCTCAGGGTCACAGCGCCACGGCTACGCAGCTGCACGCCAGCCCCAAGCCCAGTGTCCACAGTCTACCTCATCCGGTCTGACCTGCTACCGGTGTGGAAAGCCAGGCCATGCCACATGTGACACTGCCAAGGGCCAGTTCTGTAGCCGCTGTGGCAAGCCAAACCATTTCGCTGCGGCATGCCGCGCCTCGGACTCCGCCATCCAGGCCCGCACGTTCAGGGAACGCCGTCCCCACCAACACTCTGACCAGCACGCTGTCAACAGCGGCCACCATGCCATTCATTCTTTAGAGATTGGCGCAGAGCTGTTTTCTACCGACTCTCCGCCTCGCCCATCTACGGCACCCTGCCGTGAGGATGCTCGGCGCACCGTGCACGTCAACGGCATACCCCTGACTGTCTTGGTTGATAGTGGTGCCAGTCACAATATCATCAATACTGATGACCTGGCAAAGGTTGCCCCTGGTGCAGCACTTCAGCAAACGGATGTGCAAATCTTTGCTTACGGCTCAACTTCACCTCTTCCTCTTCTGGGTAGCATCACCCTCTGTGTTTCCTCCGCTACCATGAGTTCGATGGCAACATTCCTCGTTGTCGCACACGCGCCACGTACCGCTGCTATCGTTGGCCGCGAGACCGCCATGCATTTTGGCCTCATCCAGCTGGTCCACAGCATCGAAAGTCCGCAACTGCCAGACGACCTTGCTGAGTACCACGACCGCTTCCAGGGCCTCGGCTGCATCAACGACGTAGAAGCCCATATCTACGTAGATGGCAACGCCCGCCCTGTCGCTCACGCACCATCCAAAGTGGCTGTCCACCTCCAGGAGGACGCACTCGCTGAGCTCCATGAGCAGCTCGCATTGGATGTCATCGAGCCTGCCACTGGCCCCACCCCATGGGTTGCCCGAATGGTGGTCGTGCCGAAGCGCAAGGGCAAAGTGCGCCTCACGCAGGATTTCCGTGATGTCAATGCCGTTGCGGCACGGGAACGCCATCCCATCCCCACGCTCGAGGAGATTACTTCCGACATGCCAGGGGCCACCGTGTTCACCGAGTTGGATATGAACAAGGCCTTCCACCAGATCTCACTGGCCGAGTCTTCCCGTCTTTTCACCGTGTTCCACACGCCCCTCGGCCTAATGCGGTGCAAGCGACTCGCCATGGGGTTGGCTTCAGCGTCTGAGATCCTCCAGCGGACCATGGACCGTGTCCTCGCGGGTCTCCCAGGTGTTCGCAGCGTGCACGACAATATATTCATCTACGGCGAGACGGCCCAAGTCCACGATGAGCGCCTGCACGCCTGCCTGCAACGCCTACGTGCCCACAATGTTACCCTCAACCTGGCGAAGTGCCAGTTTCGCCAAACCCGCCTGGCCTTCATGTCGACTATCTACAGTCGCCGGGGCACTCAGGCTGCACCACACCACAAAGAGAGCATTGCTGTTTTCGCCACACCCAAGTCAGCTTCCGATATCAAGAGTTTCCTGGGTTTGGCGACATTCATGCGCCATTACATCCCCGACATGGCCACCAAGACGGCACCCCTGCGGAAACTCCTTGGCAAGGGTCAGCAGTGGGATTGGTCACCCGAGGCTCAGGCAGCATTCGATGCCATCAAAGCCGACATAGCAGCTGATCGGGCCCTCGCCTACTTCGACCGTACCAAACACACTCACCTTTACGTCGATGCCTCACCCGTTGGCCTTGGCGCCATTCTCTGCCAGTCTCCTGAAGCAGTCGTCCAGGATCACTCCGAGCTGAAACCAGTCGCATTCGCAAGCCGCAGCCTGACCCCCACTGAGCAGCGTTATTCGCAAACGGAACGCGAAGCCCTCGGTGTGAAGTACGGCTGCTTGCGCTTCTCCCATTTCCTCAGCGGCGACCCCGGCTTCACGGTCCACACCGACCACAAGCCCCTTCTACAGCTGCTTCACCCGTCTTCACGACCTCCACCCCGCATTGAACGGATGGCTCTCAAGGTCCAAGACCTCCACTTCAAGCTGGTGTATGAACCTGGCCCTTCCAACCCAGCAGACGTCTTGAGTCGTCACCCTCAGCCACATCCTCCCCTGCCGAATGTTGGTGAGGAGGAGGACACCGCCTATATCAATGCCATCGCGCAGTCCTCTGTTCCCAACGCCCTCCTCTTGTCCGACATCCAAGGCGCAACTCGAGCAGACTCAACGCTCCAGGCCGTGCTGCTGTCACTGCAGACGGGCATGTGGGACGACAAGGCAGTGGACATCCGCCCTTTCTTCACGCAAAGGCATGAACTCTCCGCCGCCGACGGTCTCCTGCTCAAGGACCATCGTCTGGTGATTCCACTGTCTCTCCGAGAGCGGACACTTCAACTGGCCCACTCCGGCCACCAAGGCATGACACGGACCAAGCAACGACTGTACACGAAAGTCTGGTGGCCTGGCATGACGTCCGCTGCGGAATCCCTCTGCCGCCAATGCCTCTCCTGTCAGGCAAACACGCCAACAGGCCCATACAGGCCGGAATCCACACCGACCCCACCATCGACGGCGCCATGGCAACGGGTGTTTGTCGACCTGTATGGCCCCTTGCCAGGCGGAAGCACACTCTTGGTTGCGGTGGACCAACTGAGTCGCTACCCAGTCACTCACGTGTTCAACTCCACTCCCGCTACAGCTGGCGTACTTGCAGTGCTCCGCAGTGCGTTCGCAGCATTCGGCCTGCCAGAAGAAGTGGTCTCTGACAACGGCCCCCAGTTCCGCTCGGCGGAGTTCAACCGTTTCCTGGCCCAGATGGGCATCGCTCACCGTTGCACGCCTCCTCTCTGGCCCCAAGCCAATGGTGCAGTGGAGCGGATGAACCGCACGATCGGCAAGGTCCTCCGTGCTGCCCAACTGGATGGCCGAGATTTGCGTGCTGCACTTGACGAGTGGCTACTCGCATACCGCACCACTCCCCACCCCGCCACAGGCCTGCCGCCAGCTACCATCATGTTCGGCCGCAGCATCCGGGACACTCTCCCCAGCCTGTGCACGGCCCCAGCACCAGATGCGACCGTCACGGCGAACAAGGAGCATGCGTTCCGCGCCCGCCAATGCGAGGCGGCGAACCACCATCGCAGTGCGCAACCGGCTTCGACCATCACCCTCAAGCCGGGTCAACAAGTTCTGCGCAAGAACGAACGGCAGCACAACAAGCTCGACTCAATCTGGGATCCAAACCCATGGACTGTGGACGAGATGACGGGCTCCACCGTGGTCATCACCCATCCAGTCACAGGCCAGCGGGTCTCTAGGCATGTGTCATTTACGAAGCCGGCTCCCGCTATCGTGGTTCATCCTCCGTCGCCCGAGCCTCCACTACCTACCCCGCCGCCACCGCCGCCACCACCGACAACACCACACCTGCCCCACCGGCGGCGTCAGCAGCCACCGCGCTCGGCCAAGGCGGTCCACAAATATGTCCAAACAGCACGCGCCACCTGATGTATGTGTGCATCAAGTCCACCCTGAATCTCAGACTGGCTTCAGTTTTTTCCCTTTTATCCTTTGTGTGACTGTTTACCTGCTCCGCCTTTTCTATCTGTAGCATAGGGAGAGGAACAGCCTGACATCAAGTCATTTATCCATGCCTCGTGTTTTCAGTTTTCAGTTTTCCACTTTTCACCCTACGTTTTTTCATCTGTGCTTGGGAGAGATGTAGTGTTCACGTGTTCCTACGCGCTGTGGCATTCCTTGGCCACTCCAGACATTCATGATGCATGTAGTAGTAGTAGTACATCGTGATGTTATGCATGTAGCATGTGCCGTTTCCCGCGCGCGCGTGAAACGGACTTCGCGGCTTTTAGTTGCTGTGCATGGTTTGACTCTGGACTCTTGTTGTTTTGGACTGAAGAAGAAACAATACTACACTTGGGAGGTGTTGGCTTGTGTTGGCAGGATTGATCCAAGACATGTGGTGTTTCAGGTAGTGTCTGGGTACTTTGAGCCGTGTTCTGGCTGGTTGCTTTGCAGGAACTGATTGTCCTACGTGCTATTCGAGATGTCAACGTACCCAAGTTCCTGCAAGATGATCTGAAGCTCTTCAACGGCATTGTCTCTGATCTCTTCCCACAAATAAAGTGAGTGGTATAGCACCATGCTCAAGTCAAGCAAGACCAGACAGTCAAGAAGAGATTCACAATGCTTAAATGCGTACTGCTGCTTTGCGAAACTCTCTCCCTCCCTCTCCCTCTCCCTCTCCCTCTCCCTCTCCCTCTCCCTCTCCCTCTCCCTCTCCCTCTCCCTTTCCCTCTCCCTCTGCCTCTGCCTCTGCCTCTCCATCTGCCTCTCCCTCACTCCCTCCCTCCCCCTCACCCCCTCTCTCTCTCTCTCTCTCTCTCTCTCTCTCTCTCTCTCTCTCTCTCTCTCTCTCTCTCTCTCTCTCTCTCTCTCTCTCTCTCTCTCTCTCTCTCTCTCTCTCTCTCTCTCTCTCTCTCTCTCTCTATCCATTCACAATCTTATTGGAAGCTGCTGAATACGGTGAAGGTAGCTCACAGGTGGTTCTGGGGCAGGAAATGTTGGAGACACCCTACTTCAATAGGCTCGACATAGTGGACATATCGCCTCTTCCTTGTCACCTTTGCCTCTCCAACCGAAGTTGGGTCACCCAATCTCTGTTGTGTCCACCGGGTCGCCTACACTGTAATTCAGGCTAAATCACGTTGCAGGGAATCTCTTTGTTGATCACTGTCAGTCTGTGATTTGCTCACGGTCAGTCTGTGATCGTTGTGCTGCACCTAGTGACTAGCTGTTACTAACAGTTACTTCAAATACGACTGCTGTGTCTTTGTGCAGGGAGCAGCCAATCGATTATGGAGACTTGGAGGCGTCCATTCGAACATGTACCATCAACTCTGGACTGAAGGATGTTGACAGTAAGTGGATGCATGCCGGCGAATGATGCTCTAGTCTAGACTGGAAAGAGCAATGGCCTCTCAGCATACTATGACTGGGTCTTGTTAGGCACTTTTGCCTGGTTGAATGCCCAGACCTTATATGGACTACTGGACTGCTGCATCTATGTTTCCCTACCCAATATTGAATGCCATGCATTGCATTGTATGCCATGCATTGCAGTGTATTGCGTTTTTGAGAAGAATGAAGGTGTTTTCCCTGAAACCAATGAATTTATCCCTCTGTGTTTGGATTTGTAGATTTCATCACTAAGTGCATTCAGCTGTACGAGACTACAGTTGTCAGACATGGACTGATGTTGGTCGGACCTACTGGATCTGGAAAGACGCAGGTACTTAGTTGCTGATTTTCCATCGTATTGCTTCATATAAGGAGGCGCACTTTGAAGCCTGAAAGGCCCTGAATTGTGAGATCTGCTTCTGTACCGTTTGACAGTAGGCATAGAGTGACGTTGCCGCAAGGGGAGACAGTTTGGAGAAAGTAAACATGACAAAAATCATCTTACACCGTAATCGACGTAATAATTATACTTACACTGCTGCAGGTGTTGTGAGCGGATTGACGTCTAGCAGTATTGTAGTACACTAGTAATGACTTTCATGATATGTTTTGGAGAGGTCTTAGTTTGGTGCACGTCAGGGTTCTCCCAACATGGGAACAATCAATGACCCCGTTGAGAAGCCCTGCTATAGGAGCCCAAGAATGTATGGGTGTTAGTGGTGTTATGGGAGGTTCTGCACTGTACTGATGTGTACTGATGTGCACTGATGTGTACTGATGTGTACTGATATGTACTGATGTGTACTGATATGTACTGATGTGTACTGATGTGTACTGGTGTGTACTGGTGTGTACTGGTGTGTACTGATGTGTACTGATGTGTACTGATGTGTACTGATGTGTACTGATGTGTACTGATGTGTACTGGTGTGTACTGATGTGCGCTGCTATTGGTATTCTACTGGATAGCACTCCCAGTATGGGCTTCCAGTGTGGTGTATTACATACTATTGCTGGTGGCATGTGTGGTGTGTTGCACAGTGGTGTTGCTGGGAGCCTGTGTCGTTTATGACCGGTCAGTTCTGCTGCTGGCATTTCTCTATCTTGTTTACTCATATTGGCAGTGCTATCGCGTGCTGAAGAAAGCTCTGTCTGCACTCAAAGGACAAGTGGCACCGACTGGATATGAGTTTACGGAAACTCACACGTTTGTAGTCAACCCGAAGTCCATCACCATGGGTCAGCTGTATGGAGAGTTTGACTTACTGACCCATGAATGGTGAGATTGCCAGCACAATCTGATTGAGTGTGTAAACTGTCCTCTGCTTTAGCGTAGCTAAACGTTGCAAGATGGTGTGCCGCATGATATGAGTACAGAGCGAGTTCCAATAGGATGATCAACTGGTAGTAACCATCAATGATAGCAACCATGTGTTACCAGTAGATACTGGACTAAGCCTACATGTATACACACTTTCAGCCATGTCCAGACATGCTGGGTCACGGTTCTCTGCAGCAAACTGATTAAGTGCATGATTGAAGTGATGAGTTTGGATTGATTGATCCTACCTGGTCTGTACCTGGTCTGTTCCTGTGTGTGCATGAAGGACGGACGGCATTCTCTCATCCCTCATTCGCTGGGGAGCTTCAGCCCAGGACGAGGACAAGAAGTGGTACATGTTTGATGGTCCAGTGGATGCTGTGTGGATTGAGAACATGAACACTGTACTGGACGACAACAAGAAACTCTGCCTTAGCAGTGGAGAGATCATCAAACTCTCTGAGGTAACGCACAACATACATATAGAAGATAGCGCTGTGCATTTAGCAGCTGGTGCATTGAAACAGTGGCACACGCAGAATGCTATTATTGCTCTCCTTTTTATGTCCACTGATAGTGTGCCTGGATGTTTGCGCAAGCATGTTGGTTTGCCTAGTATAGCTACACGAACTAACCCATTCATACTTGCATCACATATAGCTACACGAACTAACCCATTCATACTTGCATCACATATGGCTTTACGAGTACTGCTACCTCTATGCCCCGGCATATCATTCTCTCACGTGTTCATTCTCTCACGTGGACGTGTCCTTCAATGCCGATCTGCTGCCCGCACAGGTGATGACAATGATGTTTGAAGTGCAGGATCTAGCGGTGGCCAGTCCAGCTACGGTCAGTCGCTGTGGCATGGTCTACCTTGAACCCAGCATTCTTGGACTGCAGCCGTTTGTCGAGTGCTGGCTGAAGAGGCTGCCCAAGGCTCTCACTGGCTATGCAGACCAATTGAGCAAGCTCTTTGACACATACATGGAGGTGAGTGTGAGAATACAAGACATGTTAATTTGCTGAGACAGCCTTACGTATAGCCAGGACCTTACCAACAACTGTGCCTTACGTATAGTCAGGACCTTACCAACAACTGTGCCTTACGTATAGCCAGGACCTTACCAACAACTTCTTAGCATAATGTGTGATAGTTGCGTTTGTGTTTCTCTGCTTGTTCTTCTGTCTTGCATGCAGCCATGTGTTGACTTTCTCCGTGAGAACGCCAAGGAGTATGTTCCCTCCGTGGATAGCAACCTGTGTGGCAGTATGATGCGTATCCTGGACTGCTTCTTTGCACCATTTGCACCTCCAAAGAAGCAGGTAACGTGGACGTATGTGACCTTACGATAAGGAGTCAATTTTTTAAAAATCCCAGACCGTGATGTGATGTTTGATATCAAGAGCCTGCTGCGATGGTTATTATGAATATCTCCGAGCCTGGGACATGTGTATACTCTCTAAGTACTGTTGAATGTGAAGAGCTGACAAGCTGATGCCAGCAGCTGTGCTTGATTTCAGAAGTTGATCTCTTTGTTGGTTTCAGCTCGGAGGCAGTGCCAAAACCGTGGAAGTCACATCGGAGAAGCAATCTCTCATAGCCAAGCTAATTGAACCGTGGTTCTTCTTTGCTCTGGTGTGGGGCATCGGCGGTAGTTGTGATGAAGATGGCCGGTGCAAGTTAGACAAGTGTCTGCGTGAGAAGATGAAAGAAAACAATGTGAGTAGGGAGTAACACTGTGTTTGCTAGACGGGGGGAGTGTTTGGGTCAGTGCTTACAAACAGTACTGTCATTGTTACAAGCTGCTGATTTGGAGAGTTTGTAGCATCCATGACTGATTAGAGCTAGCTAGTAAAGCACTGGTAGTCACTGGTAGTGACCAGCAGACATGCCCGGACAAACCATCGTTTAGCATGGATGGTGATGCCATGCCGGGGGAAAACCCCAGCATATACCCTGGATAGCTGTGTCTACTGCAAATGATGCCATGAGCTGTTTCCCTTTCAGTTGCTTTTGACGTTTTGTTTGGTCAAAGTGCTGACTGCTGCCTTACTGCCCAAGGCCATCACATATGGCAGCTTTCCCAATACAATCATTGTCTACACCAGCATGTGCTTGAGTCACGATTCTGTACAATGTCTGCAGGTTGCTCTGCCGTTTCCAGAGGAGGGTCTTGTTTACGACTATCAGATTGATGACCTGGGTGTGAGCAAAGTTGCTGGTGATGATGATGACGATGACGATGCCAAAAAGAAGAAGAAAAAGAAGGTATGCACGCTGTCTGAATGTTGTTGTAATGGCCGAATAATCGCTGGGTTGTACTTGAGGCGCATAGCATAGGTTGTGCTTCCCAAGATGGTCTCACTGTGCTCTTGTAAGATCCGTAAGTCTTGCGGGCCATTCAGTTTGATATCTGTAGGATGACAACGCAAAGGAGTCGATGAGATAATCATGCCGCATATTAACCGGACATGTAGGTGAGTAGTGAGTACAGAATGATGACATCATAGTGTGCACAGCATGATGTCATAGTGTGCACGATGATGTCATGTTATTATATCGGCTTTGATATTCTTGTGTCTAGGTATCCTGGGTGGGCTGGATGGAGGGTTTGCCAGACGTGGTTGTTGATCCAAAGCGGTACTCAGATATCATTGTGCCTACAATGGATACGGTGCGATCAGCAGCACTCATGGAGTTGCTATTGACACACGACAAACAGGTCAGTCCATGCCTACGCTACGCATGCGATTTGTAAAATCCATGATGCACAATGCAGTCTAGCTCTAGCCCGGTGTACACGTAGCATGGTTGCTGCTGCCATTGTTACACAAATAATTGCTGTGCATGCGTCTGTTTGTCTGTTTTGATGTGTAGCCAGGCTCAGGGAAAGGTAATAGCTTTCATATGTAGCAGCGCCCGGTGATAGATCAGGAAGCCGTCTACGTATGCATGTGTTTTTGCCTGATATTCAGCAGTACATGATGACAGATAATGTATGTGTCTCTACTGGCCCTCTAGCCATTCCCAGGAAAACAACTTATATACAATGCATCCTGGCAAGGATGTAATGGTACTGGAGATCATACCTCTAGCATATTGTATCAAGAATGCCGAGATCATGATTAGCTATTGTGACAGACCCTACAATATAAGGAGATTTCTTGCTACTGTATTCTGGTTGTATCCAAACTTCTTTTAGCCTCATTTCTTTTGCTCTGTGTGTTCTGTTTGTTATGTGTAACTGACTAGGTGTTATGTGTGGGCCCAACTGGTACGAGTAAAACTTTGACTGTCGCCAGCAAGCTGCTCAGTCACATGCCCAAGGAATTCCTATCCGAGTTCATTTCATTCTCGGCTCGCACCGGTGCCAATCAAACACAGGATATGATTGACTCAAAGCTGGATAAGAGGTAGGACTCTCGACGCATAGGACACAGTTACTGATTGAGCCCCTGTTGTAAAGTCTTGTCTTGTAATGTCAGTTCTGTGTCCCCGGCCATGCTGCCAACAATGTCATCGGTTTGCTCGTCTACTGTGTGTTGCTTGACAGACGGAAGGGCATCTTCGCCCCACCACTGGGCAAGTTCTGCATCTTCTTTATTGATGACCTCAACATGCCGGCATTGGAAACGTACGGTGCACAGCCTCCAATAGAACTGCTCCGCCAGTGGATGGACCATGGCGGCTGGTATGATAGAAAACAGATAGGTGAGTGTAACAGGGCAAATTCAGGCGATCACAAGTACATGACTTATATATTGCAAGCTCGAAAGTCAAAACAGCAATGACATTGCAAGAGCAACGTTGCACGGGATCTTGAAGGGTGCGTGCCCGTGTGACTTGCGCATGCGCGCAGGTCGGACCAGCTCGCTGGGCTGGCTACTAACTTGTGTTAACACATTTTGCTCATCATACATGTACATTATTGTGTAGACCTTCAAAACTCCATGCTATTTCTACTCGATCAATACATCAGGGCAAAATGCCTCCATTCCATCATCTGAACCAGGTGATGTAATGCTGTTGGTCTAGTGACGCTGATCTAACTGTCCCGTATCTTGTCTCGGCTTTTGTATAGGCGCTTTCCGTAACCTTGTTGACATTGGCTTCATCTGTGCAATGGGTCCTCCTGGTGGCGGTAGAAACCCGGTAACGCCGCGTTTCCTTCGTCACTTCAACTTCTTGACATTCTGCGAAATGGAGACATCGAGCAAGCACAGGATCTTCAAAACAATCCTTGATAGTTGGTTAGGTAAGATGGAGATGGCAACATTCATGCCTACTACTTCTGTTAGTTTGATATGTGTATAGCTCATGTGTATAGCTCATGGTATGCATGCTATGTATGGTGTTCATGCTGGACGGCTTGGTCTTGAAGATGCACAGACCGTCATATTGATCCTGCTTTGCAGGAGGGGGTTTCCCTTAGCAATGTTGTTATACAGGCTATCATCACAGGGTTTCCTTGTCTGATGCTCTAAACTGTGTTACTCCCCTAACAACAGTTGGGGCCCAAAGAAATCCAATTCTTTAGCATAAGAGCTGACGCTCGGCAGTACGTGGCCACAAGACCGGCTTTCTGACACTTGGTCTTAGCCCTATGCAAGGGATCCGGGGGAGAACACCAGGGGAAGGAGGCCGGGGAGGGGAAGGGTTCAGAATTCCTTTGCCTTTCCTGCAGTCGCTGCCGTGGACATTGTCTTCTGGCATTGTGTGCTGTGTAGTTGAATTGCCAGACTGTGCAGCACTGAGCGACATACTGGTGACAACGACCATTGACATCTACGGGACGATCACTTCCCAGCTCTTGCCCACGCCAGCCAAGTCACATTATACATTCAACTTGCGTGACCTGTCCAAGGTCTTTCAAGGCCTACTCATGGCCAAGCCATCTAAAGTGAAGGTAATATGTGTATACTCTCAGGATGCAGGGGAGTGGTGCACTTTGACATTGTAGGAAGATTTCCACTTCAGGAAAATCCTGCTCCGAACACGACAATATCACTAGGAACACTCCGCTGTACTTGGAAGATTCGTAAAATACACGAGACTAGCTAGCAAGTGTGACTGGATCTTTACCCTCGCTGGGCCGGGGATTATATTGAACAGTGAAGAGCCTACACTACCCAACATGTGTAAACACTTGAAGTGACACTGGTAATATGACAGGGTACTCTGAGCTTAGCCTACATTTCTCCGTTCTACAGCTTAGCCTACATTTCTCCGTTCTACAGCTTAGCCTACATTTCTCCGTTCTACAGCTTAGCCTACATTTCTCCGTTCTACAGCTTAGCCTAAATTTCTCTTTTCTACTTTCCGACAGGACGACGTGGGCCTGTACCGTCTGTGGTTCCACGAGTGCTGCCGTGTGTTCGAAGACCGCCTGGTGAACAACGAGGATCGTAACTGGTTTGAAGACCTGTTGCGCAACAAGATGGCAACTGATCTGAATGTTTCCGTGGATGATGTTTTACCTCACGGCCTTCCAATTTACGGTGATTTTGCACAAGGTTCAGACGTGAAGACGTACGAGGAGATCACCGACATTGGAAAGGTAAGCTGGATGTTCATTTCCCTAGTACTGTTTTAAGGGGATGGAAAAAAGCTGTGCTTGAACTCACCTCGAACTCACGGCGAGTAGATGGGACTTGCTGGCATAGTGCACGTGATTAAAAATTGTATTCATCAAACATCATACGTTGTGTGTGTGTGTGTGTGTGTGTGTGTATGTAGGGGTGTGTATGTGTGTGTGTGTGTGTGCGTTTGTGTGTGTGTGTGTATGTGTGCGTGTGCGCGCGCGCGCGCGCGCGTGTGTGTGTGTGTGTGTGTGTGTGTGTGTGTTGTGAGAGACTTCTACCATTCTGTGTCAAATTGACAACTGAGACTTTGGTAAAGTCCGGCCAAACGTCTGGTCTTGTGTCCTGACATGGTTGTCATTCTGCAGATGGTTCGTGTAATTGAAGAAAACCTGGAGGATTACAACCAGACAAGCACAGCTCCCATGAATCTCGTGCTGTTCTTGGACGCCGCACGGCACGTAGCTCGTATCAGCCGTATCATCCGACAGCCACTGGGCAATGCGCTGCTACTTGGTGTTGGCGGCAGTGGTCGTCAGAGTCTCACACGACTGGCGTCCCATATGTAAGTCACACCACAAGCAACAAGTGTTTCCCCAGCGAAATCTGTGCCTTTTTCACTATACACTGTATGGCAGCATAGGGTTCCACGCATTGTCAATGCTGCTTGGTCGTAATGTGCAGTGCTGATCCAGAAGAGCTTTGTGTCTCAAACCTGCTCTTTGTTCATGTGGTTGTGTTCATGCGTGTGCATGCATACATGTGGTCAGGGCTGACTTTGAATGCTTCCAAATTGAGCTCTCTAAGAACTATGGCATCACGGAGTGGAAAGAAGACCTGAAGAATATCATGCTGAAGGCTGGGTTAGAGGACATATCCATGGTCTTCTTGTTCAGTGATACTCAGGTCAGTGATGATGTGGTGAAATCCACTGCACTTGCTGTTAAATCCACTGCACTTGCTGTTAAATTCAGTGTCTGCTCTAGGATTGTAGGACAGCCGGGTACACGTGTACCTGGCGCAACCATTTCAACCGGGTCGGAGCCGGGTACTCATGCACCTGACACTGTCTCACCAGCCGAGTCACATGCTTTAACTGGTTGGTTGGTTTATTTTAATTCGGACAATAAACGGGAACTAGGCCCAATGATATAAAGGCGAATGGATAAGCCGCATTTAGAAAAGAGAGGACAGGAATTAGAAAATTACGAAAGAAGAAGAAGTATCTGACACATATAAGCCATGTAGTCAGTCCTTTCAAAGTTCGAAAGTGTAAAGTACCAACCGGGTCACAGGTGACCCGGTACTATATTTTCAACCGGGTCCAAGCGCCGCCCAACCGGGTGGATTACCCGGCTCACCCGGCGCTGGAGCAGACACTGAAATCCACTGCACTTGCTGTTAAATCCACTGCACTTGCTGTTAAATCCACTGCACTTGCTGTTAAATCCACTACACGTGCTGTTAAATCCACTATACTTGCTGTTAAATTCACTGCACTTGCTGTTAAATCCACTACACTTGCTGTTAAATCCACTACACTTGCTGTTAAATCCACTGCACTTGCTGCGTGACGACGTTCTCGGCAGTAGGGCCGCAACCTGGAACACGTGTGATCTCATACTATCAGCCTTGAATCAATTTACTTGGTCCGCCCAGTTACAATTGGCGCTTATCTTCACACTTGTCTCAGGAAAGAAATACGAATATTTGAAGCAAGCCACGATCACAAAGCACTATATACATGATTATTTACATGTCAGTAAGCAACTCAGTCGAAAATTCAAGCAAGTTACACATCCTCCTCGCCACTATCGTCGCTGGAGGAAGAGCTAAAAACGTTCGATCCGGACAGCTGCTGCACGTGTCGTTTCATAGCTTGTTCCACTTCTCGTCTCGAATCACGCTCAAAGGCAGTGCATGCCTGTCACCTTGCCGATCAGAAGCTGAGTGAGACTGCCTGCATGTTGACTGTAAGTGTTACCTCCGTTCGTCCCAACAATGCGTCTTTGTTTGAGACAAAAAGGCAACGCCATATCAGTGTCCCTTTTTCGAATCGCCTCTTGCACTTGTCGTATTTGCTGATCAGCACCCACACGAGCCGCTGGTGCTTGTACATGCAGCGCAGTGATAGCTTCCGCTTGATGTAGCACATGTGCGTACGGCACCTACAAGTAAGTGCTAACGCCGTGCACCAGTCTTTTCGGCTAGTTTCCTGAAAGTCCTTTGCACGAGTGTTTCCCTCAGGACTTGGTGTTTTCCTTGATTAGCTCCTTTGCCCTGTCCTCTGTGAGGTTCAAAGTGTGTCCGCCGGATTGGTCTCACTTACTGGAGATGTCGACATGAGCTGCAGTTTCTTCGTCAGCGATTTGCTGGTGATAGCCCTTCACTAGGCGCTGTGCTGTGCAAGCACTGAAAATTCAAGCTCACGAAGCGCTTTTTCAGCTTTTCTTTACCTCCCCGGGGTAAACAATCCTTGCCATCAGACAGCTGGACGTAGACAGAAACTGTATTCTCCATCGCTCTGAAATGCGAACATCCTGACCTATTTTACGGACTCGAGCGGAGGTTGCAGTGTTTTCTTGCGCTGACGGAAGTGTTCGTCGGCGGCAGCTCCGTCAAAAAGACTCAAACGAACCGATCGCAACTTCTGTGATGGTTTGTGCCGCCATGTCGTCGGATGCAATGGTCAATGGTTATGTTCGGATGGTGAATCGCTGGTTCCATGCCGTGTGACACAGGCAGAACACCGAAAAACCAAGTGAGAAGATAAGCGCCAATTTTAACTTGGCGGACCAAGTAACGTATACCGAAAGACTGCCTCTGAAGTAATGTGATATTCCTTTTTGTGTTGGAATGGGTTGCAGGGGTCCACTTCTGCCACCCAATAGAGTGGTACGGTGATGGTATGGCAGCATTGTCGATACACTTAGCAAGTCTGGGCATTTGAGTGTACAGTCATAACACCGTGATTCATTTTAGCAAAGGAGGCTGGTTGAAAGGAGGCTGGTTGAAAGGAGGCTGGTTGAAAGGAGGCTGGTTAAAAGGCACTGCAAAGGAGGCTGGTTGAAAGGCATTGCTTTATGTATCGTTCCTATGTCCTTTTCCTTCCTATCGATGTTCTGCAGATCAAAGAAGAAAGCTTCCTGGAGGATATCAACAACATTCTGAACTCTGGCGATGTGCCGAATATCTATGCCTTGGACGAATTGGACAAGATCTATGCTTCGATGAAAGGCATTGTGCAAGACATGGGGTTGGCCCCCACCAAGGCGAACTTGTTCTCTGCTTACACCAAGCGCGTCCGCTCAAACATTCACAGTGTCATCACCATGAGGTTAGCTGTTGATGTATGCATGCGTACATGCGCACATGCGCACATGCTTGCTTGCATTCTTGTATGTGTACACGTTTGTGTACAGCCATGCCTTTGTAACCAAATATGACCTCAGACCTGCAAATCAAGGCTGGAGACCTGCAAAAAGAATTTTTGTGATGTCATCTGTTTGCTACTGCTTGTTCAGCCCCATTGGTGAGACATTCCGTGAGCGTTTGCGTATGTTCCCGTCGCTGGTCAATTGCTGCACCATCGATTGGTTCTCCGCGTGGCCAGACGAGGCTCTGCAATCAGTGGCACGCTCTTTCATGAGCGAAATGACAGAGTTGGATGTTGAGGCTGATGTCATCACGGGCTTGGTGAGTCGCATGTCGACATCCATTCCAAATTGTAGCATACCCTTTGCCCAGTCAGTGTTACCATGGTTCTTATTGTGTTGCATGATGCTATACCCAGCGGAGTACAGCAGCATAGCCGAAAAGCAATATTTGTCAGAAGTATCCTCACCTCCCTCAAACTTATGAGATGCAATAGTCCTATGCCATGTTATCGTGCATGTCATTGAAGTCTTTTCTCCCTCCTCATACCCATTCAAAAGCAGTCCTAGCAACTTCAGGGTCTACTTTGGTATGCATTAACTTACCATATTATGTGTGTATGTGTGTATGTGTGTGTGCCCATGCACGTGCACGTGCGTGCGTTCATTCCTCTGTACAGGTTGACATCTGCGTCGCTATTCACATGTCCGTTGCGGATGTATCCAAGAAGTTCCTGTCTGAGCTGTCACGTCACAACTATGTGACACCGACTAGCTACCTGGAGCTTCTTGGTATCTTCTCAAAGCTACTCAAAGTGAAGAAGACTGAAGTCCTGAACCAGCGTAACAGAACGAAGATAGGCTTGGACAAGGTATATTTTCTGTCCAGGAGCTGACGTTGACATTCAAGATTTCTACAATGTTGTAACTGGAAGAGGTTGTTAGGTTTAGATGTCGTCCTCTGTCACAGCATGTTTGTCTCTTTCCTATTTGTAGGGTAGACCGTGACGAAGTGACTGGAAAGTACATGCCTAGTCTGAAACCAATGTGAAATGAAACAAATAGCCTTGAAGTGGGAATCATAAGTTCGTATTCTAGGCTCTTGCTTCCAAGTATGTAGCATCACTGACTCCAGCCTGGTTCGTTACGTACAACTCCAGGATGTGATCTATCATCGAGGGGTGCTAACCTGAGAAGTTCACTTATTTCTCCAGGCTCCACATTCTTCTAACCGTGAGCCTAGTGTGTCTATCAGTTTGTGTGTGTGTGTGTGTGTGTGTGTGTGTGTGTGTGTGTGTGTGTGTGTGTGTGTGTGTGTGTGTGTGTGTGTGTGTGTGTGTGTGTGTGTGTTGACCATTGTCGTGTGTTCTGTCACTCCACTCACATCTCCGCCTCTGCGTCTGCCTCTGCATTTGTCTCTAACTAGCTGCTGTCCACAGCGAAAGAAGTTGCCAAGCTCCAAGAGGATCTGGAAGAGATGCAGCCCATGTTGAAGAAGGCTCAAGTGGAGACCGAGGAGACCATCGTTCAAATCAATAGAGATACGGTGAGCATTCGTGCCCTGCCTCACCACACTGGTTCTGTTGAACCGCAAGCCATGGGCCACAGGCCAGACAAATATGCGCTGCTGTGAGCTGTGAGCTGTGAGCTGTGAGCACTTGCAATAGACAACGATTTCGCTTGGGGCACACAATGTTGTACTTGGGCTTGCATTGTACTGATCTTAGCATGCAATACTGATGTAGTTGTAAGCACAGTGTTCTCTCATGTTACCTTGGCATTGTATCTACTTTGTGGGATAGACCTGTACAAAGATCCTTAGTGATTTGTATTCAAGGTCTTGTTCTGTTCAATGTTTGCACATCACAGTTAGTCGCCAATGAGACTCGAGCGCGGGTGAAACAAGAGGAGGAGCAGGCACTTCAGAAAGCCATGGAAACTGAAGCAATCAAAAACAGCGCCCAGAAAGATCTGGATGAAGCTTTGCCAGCGTTGGTAGGTGCATGCAGCAGTGCTATCTTCCGTGGTATCATGTTGATCCTCAGTACGGAGTTCATAGCATGGTGCAGCAGCAAATTACGTATATGTCTCGGGTAGGAAGGATACTCGCTGTTTAGCTGCCTGGACATACAACTTCAGTTTCTGCAAGTATTTTGTTCTTATCAAAAAGAGCCTGTTTGGCTTAGGAATGGTCTTTTTAGATTAATGTTCTTGCTAACGTACTACAACACATTTGACTAGCTATATCTAGATGAATCAAGTGCAGTGTCATACAGCACCGTCCCTGTGTGTGTGTGTGGGTGTGTGTGTGTGGGTGTGGGTGTATGTGGTGTGTGTTTACGTGTGGGTGTTTACGTGTGTGTATGTGTGCGCTTGTGCGCGCGCGTGTGTGTGCATATGTGCATGCGAGCGCATGCGTGTCCGCATGTCCAGTGCTTGATCCTAACATGGCTGTGTGTGCTGTTATGCTCTGCTGACTTTCAGGATGCTGCTCTGGCTAGTTTGAAATTGCTTAACAAAGGCCACGTCACCGAGGTTCGGTCTCTAACACGCCCGCCGCAAGGTGTACGCATGGTGATCGAGGCATGCTGTATCATGAAGGAAGTCAAGCCAAAGAAGGTGGCTGGTGACAAGCCGGGTGTGAAGATCGACGACTATTGGGAAGTTGGCAAGGCAATGATTCAAGATCCAAACAAGTTTTTGGAAAGTTTGTTCAACTATGACAAGGTACATGCATGTGATATTCTTCATTCTCATAAGAATGACCTTTACCTTAGCAATACTGACGATGACTGGAGCTGCATGTTTTTGATTGTTGGAATGTGATTCTGTCCATCTACATCGCCGCTTGTCACTTTCTTGTGTCACTTTTGCAGGAAAACATCCCCAGCCAAGTTATTGAAAAGATTCAGCCGTATATCGACAATCAGGATTTCATGCCTGAGGCTATCAAGAAGGTCAGAAAAGCAAAGATAAACTCTACGGTCCGATTGCAATACTTTACTAGTTTCGGGTTGCACTGATAATAGTAATAGACTTGGTTGTGCTGTGGAGTTCCAAGAAGATTAATAGCCTCCGGAAAGGAAACAGCTCGTTTTTACCAGTTGCGAGTCACACACGACGTTGGTTTGAGGAGTTGTTCCCAACAAGAAATAGAGGGTCTGATAGCCCAGGGGCCCTCGATGTGCTTTGTTTCTACCTAGGTCGTCATGTGTGTTGTTCAAACTGATAGAAACGTCTTTGCAATACAAAAACATGTGCCCGATAATCTGTGTGTGTGTGTGTGTGTGTGTGTGTGTGTGTGTGTGTGTGTGTGTGTGTGTGTGTGTGTGTGTGTGTGTGTGTGTGTGTGTGTGTTGTCTGCAGGTTTCCTTGGCGTGCACATCTATTTGCCAATGGGTGCGTGCCATGCACAAATATCACTTTGTGGCCAAGGGTGTCGAGCCTAAACGAGTAAGTTGCCTGGGCTTCCGGAGGCACTTGGTGTCACTTTTTGATAACATCCGACCAAGTACACATGTTTTAACGACTGCCCTTCCATTGCCATTTCCTGTGTTACGGATAGGTCCACTGCAGTGCATATGACTGCAGTGCATATGACCTGTGTGCCTATTGGCTCACTGTGCATGGATACTAATTGCAAAGACATCACAGTCACAGATGTGCATCTGGAAAGAAGACATTGTCTGTTGCCATGCGTAGGATTAGTGCCGGGTAGAGCTCAGTGCAGTCAGCGTTGAAGGTTGAATGGTGGTATAAACGAGTATCAGCCACTTTCCTTATCACCTACTTCTTACCATCCTTTTCTTGTCAAGCATGGGCTTTCTTGTACTATACTACCTACACACCCTCAATAACACTACTTTAAAATCGGTTGTGGCGACAAACGCGATTAGGCCGGCTGCAGGGACGCCGTAATGTCGCACTCGCCCCAGCACCATTCAAACAGTTCCCTTTGGCAGTTCACGGCACGAACTTCAACAAAGCCCCGTGAATGCGTACTAGGGGAAGGCTAGACAGCATGTCTCTAGACATCAATAGGCATCGTATGAAAAGCCAGTCAATAGCACTAAAGAGCGAAAGCCTTTGTCACGGTTCGGTTTCACTCGCGCACCGGGCCCGAGCTGCCAGCGCAAACAAATGCCGGGCGCGAGCTGGCAGCACGAACAAACACCGTACTCACACGAGACCGCTGGGCCAACGGATGGCCACAGCCATCAAAAACAGGAACAAACCCATCCACGGCTCTTTCTCTTGCTAGCTGTGCTGCTGCGTGCATCCAACTGTTTTGCAATTTCTCAGGTCAGGGGCTACCGCTCACCCAAACGCCCCAGCTGTCTGCCGCGACTACAACCAAGGCCGCTGCCAACGCGCAGCCTGTCGCTACGGCCACCAGTGCAGCACATGCTTTGGCAGCCACCCCGCCAAGTCATGCCCAGGAAAGCCAGCCGCCGCCAGCCGCGACCAATAGCTCGCAGTTGCCCAGCTTGGAGACTCGGTCACTCCAGTCACTCACCGGTAACTCTACACTCACCCAGGCCAATAGCACTCACACACTCTGCCCAGCTGCTCACATCTCTCCTACACGCACCCTCGCTCACGAGCCAATCCATTTGCACACGCCTGTAACCCCCATTAACGTTTCTTACCTGCAGGACGCTTTGTGTCAGCATCCTGATCCGGCTTTTGCCTCATTCGTAATACATTCTTTGTCTTACGGGTTCGATATTGGGTTTGCTGGTCCCCGTACCTTCCGAGTCTCTCGTAATCTCAAATCAGCGATTGAGCACCCTGACATTGTCGATGCTGCCATCGGTCGTGAAATTGCCGCAGGTCGCATGGCCGGTCCCTACCAAGAGCCCCCCTTCACACTTACACACGTCTCCGGTTTGGGTGTGGTTCCCAAGAAGTCACGGTCGGTGCAAAAATGGCGCTTGATTATGCATCTGTCAGCACCACAGGGCCACTCAGTGAACGATGGTATCCCTGTCGACAAATTCTCTGTACAGTACTGTTCGGTCGACGAGGGCGTAAATCTCGCACGGTCCCTAGGCCGTGGCTGCCATCTGTGGAAGGTCGACCTCCAAGACGCATTTCGCATTTGTCCAGTACGGAAAGAGGACTGGGAACTATTATGCCTGTTCTGGCGCGGGCAATATTACGTGGACAAATGCCTACCCTTCGGCCTTCGCTCATCACCGTCGCTGTTTAACAAAGTCGCAGACGCCCTCCAGTGGGTCATGTCGCACAACTTCGACGTAGCCCCAGTCATCCACTACTTAGACGACTACCTTGGTGGAGCGACGGACTCTATCGGCGCACAGCACCAGCTTGACCGTGCCCTGGTAGCCTGCCACGACTTAGGCTTCCCGGTCAATCCAAAAAAGGTGGAAGGCCCTAGTACAACCCTGACATTCCTCGGTGTCATGCTGGACACAGAGCGCTTCGAAATCCGCCTCCCATCCGACAAGTTAGAAGACCTTCTCATTGCCCTCAAGGCTTGGCAACATACCCGCCCTACCGCCCGCAAGTCTGAATTGTTGTCCCTGATAGGTCACCTCAGCTTTGCCTGCAAGGCGGTCCCTGCGGGCCGCATGTTTCTGCGCCGCCTCATTGATCTCAGCACGACGGTCCCGCATCCAAACGATTACATCAGAATCACAGAAGACGCCAAAGCAGACATCCAGTGGTGGCTTGACTTCCTCCCTGCCTGGAATGGCGTCGCCTTCTTCCTAGAACCCACGTGGTCAGCCGCCGCCGATATGGACCTCTACACGGACGCATCTAGAGCCATCGGCTATGGTGCTTTCTTCGCCGGCCGGTGGCTCCAACACCGGTGGCAGAGGCACCAATCCCAGAGATCCATCGCGTGGATGGAGCTCTTTGCCATCGTGGCCGCAGCATCCACATGGGCACCGCAGCTGCATCTGAAGCGCATCCGCTTCCACTGCGACAACCGTAGCGTATGCGACATCTGGCTCCGCTCACGCACAAAGTGCCCCGACTTAATGGCGCTGGTACGCACTTTGTTTGCCATTGCTGCCCGACACAACTTTCACGTCATAGTCTCCCACATCCCCGGCACTGACAATGCGATTGCTGACTCTCTGTCTCGGTTTCAGATGGCCCGATTTCGCCGACTGGCACCCACAGCAGAAGACACGCCATCTCCGGTGCCCGAGAGCACCTACTCCCTCTGATGTTGGAGGGTCAGGCCTACCAGTGGCTAGGCCTGTCAGCGTCCACACGTGCCACATACGCGACAGCCTGGAAACGACTGCACCAATTCTGCCAACTAGTCGGCACCAAGGTGATTACAGACACCATCATGCCGGCGTTTGTAGCCTACCTGGCGCGTCAACATGCCGCGTCAACCGTCCGCCTGTATGTGTCGGCGATCCGGGCAATTGCCAAAGAAAACGGCAAAGATCTCTCGTCGCGAAGAGTGGACCTCGCAGTTCAAGGAGTGGCACGTGCACAGGCCAACCGAACTAAAAACGCCAGTAAGCCAATCCTCCTGCCCCACATGGCAGCTATGCGCAGGGCCCTGATACGGTCTAACCTCAACGCGACCGACCGAGCCATGGTATGGGCAGCTATTTGCCTGGGCTTCTTTGCGTGTCTCCGGGCAAGTGAGTACACTTCCACAACCGCCACGACCATGTCAGACGGTGGCCTCCGAACAGAAGACCTCTCCATCACGCCGCAGGCAATACAGGTCACAATCAAGAAGTCCAAGACCGACCAACTCGGCAAGGGTCACTCCGTCCGGCTCACAACCACCAACTCAACGGTTTGCCCGGTCAAAGCCATGCATACCTATCTATCAAGACGCCCCAACCTGCCCAATAGACCACTGTTCGTTGACAGCTGTGGCAAGTTCCTAACTGCACCAAGACTCACCCGTCTAATCCGTCAGCTCCTGAGCAGCGCAGGGTACCCACCTATCCAGTATTCACTGCACGGCCTCAGAGCCGGAGCCACAACCACAGGAGCAATGAGCGGCTTCACCGAATCCGAGATCATGAAACTCGGCAGATGGCGAAGTGCCTGCTACAAGAACTATGTACGCTGTGGAAAGTAACTGTTCGCCGTCCGCAGGCGCGCAAGCGCGCACAGCCACACCCACATACACGCACCCGCAGACACATACACACGCACGCACACACACCCACGCATGCACACACACATGCATGCACGCGTACACGCACCCACAGTCTGACACCGCACAAGCATGCATGCAGGTACACACGCTGCGCACACGCTGGTACGCCCATTCGCGGACGTATGCACTCACGTTCTAGCACTGACTGTGCACGCACGCCTCTGATACTTATGATAAGTTATCTGCACCACTCTGTTGCTGTGCTATAGCTCCCACCTAGCGGTGTGGGACACCCCATGCTATGGCGGTGTGGGACACCCCAGACCATGGCGGTGTGGGACACCCCATGCCATGGCGGTGTGGGACACCCCATGCCATGGCGGTGTGGGACACCCCATGCCATGGCGGTGTGGGACACCCCATGTGTGCACGCACGCTCCGACTACATGCGATTCAAACCCTTCTCGGTGTCACTAAGGGAAAACAAACATGCGAAGGGCACGCATTTGAACTACGTACATGTAGCTGAAGCGCTTGAATACCACACTAAGGTCATTCGGCTGACCAACGCGGCATTTGGGGGCATTCGGCGGCTTGGTCTGATTCCTAGCTTGTTGGTAACCGGCTTGAGGTTTCCAAGGTTGCTATGACAACGTGCAGTCATGCGCAGGGCCACCCAACATGCGTTGGGGGCCCAGGAAAGACAGAAACGCGTTGCTAGGCAACAGCAAAAGCGCTCAGCGAGTATCACGCTACTCATGCAGCACGCACGCTGGCTTAGGGTATCACGCTACCCTTGCGCTGCGGGGTACCACATTGCCCCTCGCTGGAATCAGACCCGCGCCCCGGATACCTTGCGCTGGCCTCCTGACGGCCAAACTCAACCAACTTGCGCGCTGTGACTGGGGTTGTGCATACCTTAGCAACATAATGTGGCCCAGGTCGGCAGACTTTCAATTAGCCAAGCGAGCTACTCAGGCCAGGGCGCATGATCACTATTCGCAGCACTTATCGTCCATGCAGCAGTCGGGTTAAAATCGGTTGTGGCGACAAACGCGATTAGGCCGGCTGCAGGGACGCCGTAATGTCGCACTCGCCCCAGCACCATTCAAACAGTTCCCTTTGGCAGTTCACGGCACAAACTTCAACAAAGCCCCGTGAATGCGTACTAGGGGAAGGCTAGACAGCATGTCTCTAGACATCAATAGGCATCGTATGAAAAGCCAGTCAATAGCACTAAAGAGCGAAAGCCTTTGTCACGGTTCGGTTTCACTCGCGCACCGGGCCCGAGCTGCCAGCGCAAACAAATGCCGGGCGCGAGCTGGCAGCACGAACAAACACCGTACTCACACGAGACCGCTGGGCCAACGGATGGCCACAGCCATCAAAAACAGGAACAAACCCATCCACGGCTCTTTCTCTTGCTAGCTGTGCTGCTGCGTGCATCCAACTGTTTTGCAATTTCTCCCTCCCACCCACGCCTCTTGATCTGTCCTAGCTCACTATTCTGGACACATATTAATTCAATTGCAATGAAGCGCCGGGGGCCGGCGGGGGCATTCGGCGGCTTGGTCTGATTCCTAGCTTGTTGGTAACCGGCTTGAGGTTTCCAAGGTTGCTATGACAACGTACAGTCATGCGCAGGGCCACCCAACATGCGTTGGGGGCCCAGGAAAGACAGAAACGCGTTGCTAGGCAACAGCAAAAGCGCTCAGCGAGTATCACGCTACTCATGCAGCACGCACGCTGGCTTAGGGTATCACGCTACCCTTGCGCTGCGGGGTACCACATTGCCCCTCGCTGGAATCAGACCCGCGCCCCGGATACCTTGCGCTGGCCTCCTGACGGCCAAACTCAACCAACTTGCGCGCTGTGACTGGGGTTGTGCATGCCTTAGCAACATAATGTGGCCCAGGTCGGCAGACTTTCAATTAGCCAAGCGAGCTACTCAGGCCAGGGCGCATGATCACTATTCGCAGCACTTATCGTCCATGCAGCAGTCGGGTTAATGGCTCCTTGACCACCAATATGAAAAGGTGCATAAAAGGAGTATTGGCTGATCATGTCTGAGTAGTGTGTTGTTCTCTGTTCTATGATTCTGCTCTGCAGCAAGCCTTGAAGGCAGCACAGAAGGAACTTGAAGAGACACAGAGAACTCTGGCAGCTGCCAAGAAGGAACTGGACGGTGTCGAACAGGGCATCGCTGTCCTCCAAGCTCGCTTCCAGGAGTGTGAGGCAAAGAAAGTCGAGCTAGCTAACAACGTCGATACCTGCAGTGCTCGCCTCGGTCGTGCCGAGAAGGTATCTGAGCATCTTTCATCATTTTCCATTGTATTATGTCTTGTTGCAGCTCTCCCAGTGCCCTATATTTTGTAACGAGTACCGTATTTTCCGGAGTATAGTGCGCACTTTAGATATGCTATTTTAGGCCCTAAATCGCAGGTGCGCACTATGCTCCGAATATGAAATGCATGTACTTCAATGAAGATTGAAGTGCGCACCCCCAATGAAGATTGGGGGTGCGCGTTATACAAAGGTGCGTACTATACTCCGAAAAATACGGTAAATATTGGTAGAGCATTGGTCATCCGGCTAAGATCATAACAGTGTAAAATGCTTTGACTGCAGCTGCGGGCTAGCAAGATGATACTTCTCTACGAATCTGCTCATGTTCATACTTTGTGAATAGCTCATAGGAGGACTTGCTGACGAGAAAGACCGCTGGGCGGACTCCGTGGAAAATCTCAATGCCATGCTGATCAACATTGTGGGAGATGTACTGGTAGCGGCCGGTGCAGTGGCCTATCTCGGTCCTTTCACTGTAAGTACTCTCGTTTCAAGATACAACCTGTCGTTGGAAATCTACTGCACTCCCAAAGACTGTATGATCTTATACCCGCATGGCTTAGTGTGAATGCCAGCATGTACTTTTCACAGTTTGGAAACGCATCTTACTGTGATGTAAGAAGTATGACCTGTATACAAGTATTTTACTGGTATGCTCCAATGTGTTCTCATATATATTGTTCCTGCTTGTCTTGATGCACTTCTGTGCCACACTCCTAGGGTGAATACCGAGCAGCCATGGTCACGGACTGGATGAGTAAGCTTGCCGTGAAGAGTTTACCGCACACGCCAGGCAGTAACCTGCTGAGCATCCTAGGTGACCCGGTTGCTATCCGCAGTTGGCAGATTGCCGGCCTGCCGCGAGATAATCTCTCCGTGGAGAATGGTATTGTAACGCAGTTCTCCAACCGATGGCCGCTGTTCATCGACCCGCAGGGCCAAGCCAATCGCTGGGTGAAGAACAAGGTCAGTCTAAACAGCATCCTATGCATGAACATGTGAAGTATCACAAGTTCACAACATTGTACTTGTAAGTTTCTATAGTAAGATGTGCAGTCCTACACACACACACACACTGTAGATGGTTTCATTAGTTTCTTTACTCGATCCTCTCTACTCGGAGTGAGGGTAACATGGATGTAGCTAACGAGGTTCGCCCCTTGTCGGGCATTGGTTGTGAGAGTTACCACCTCGCCCTTGCTGTTAGGCGCTGCATCTGCCACCCTGGTATGACAGGCATGGTGGTGGCATGGTGGTGTATTACAGGCATGGTGGTGGCATGGTGGTGGCCTGGCACAAGCACGACTTCCTAAGCTGGCTATGTATAACCGGTTGTGACGCGGATGTGCAAACTTTACTTTACTTGATCCGCTACTCCTACAGGAGAAGGAACGTGGTCTTGATGTCGTCAAACTCACTGATCGGGATTTCCTTCGGAGCTTGGAAAACGCAGTGCGCTTTGGAAGGGCGTGCTTGCTCGAGAACGTTGGAGAGGAGTTGGACCCGGCACTGGAGCCAATCTTGTTGCGACAGGTATGATCAATGAATACTCTATTCAGCCACTACCTTTGTGAAGAATACTGTGTGTACCATGCGTGTATACATGTGTGTACCATGCGTGTGTACGACGGTTTATGTGTATCCCTTATTCTAGTCCTTTCCTTGGATTTTGAAAATAAAGTATGTTTGCTTACCGACTCCTGCCATTGGAGAGTTGTGGTATTGACCTGTAAGTCCTCCAAAAACTGTTACCATTTATGCCGAGTGTTTCTGCATCTTGGACATGTAGCAAATGCAAGAGGTTGTACTGTCATCACTTTGTTCGTTCTGTCTTGTCTCTGTGTTGTCCCTGTGTTCTCTCTATGCCATCCCTGAGCTAGCCTATGACTAATGTAGATGACATCATCGAATTATGCTAGACGGTCAATGTATTCCCTCTGTGTTGTCTCTGTTTTTCTTCCGGTGTCCGCTGTGTTTCCCCATGCTATCCCTGCACTGTCAATGTGTTATCCCTGTGTACTGTTGGGTCTGTGCGTTTCTGTGCAGACGTACAAGCAAGCAGGCAGTATCGTGATCAAGCTCGGCGACGCTGTTATACCGTATCACAATGACTTCTGCTTCTACATCACCACCAAGCTACCCAACCCTCACTACACACCAGAGGTATCCACCAAGGTTACCCTGGTCAACTTCACGCTATCGCCAAGGTGATTAGAAACACGGTGGTGGTGTACTGCTGTCTATTGTTGTGTAAATGGATCGTAATTATGGCAAGATGATCAACGTAATGAAGTACTTCGAAGTATGTGATTTGTTAGTTCGTTACACCAATGTGCATTCGTTTGCTTCACATTGTATTTCCTGACTGCTGTTGTTGCTGTGTGTAGCGGTCTGGAAGATCAATTGCTAGCACTAGTAGTTGCAGAAGAACGCCCGGACCTGGAGGAAGCCAAGAACCACCTGATTGTGAACAATGCTAAGATGAAGCAGGAACTGAAGGAAATCGAGGACAAGATCCTGGAGAAACTTAGCTCATCAGAGGGAAGTCCTGTTGATGACGTGGATCTCATCGACACCCTTGAACGCTCCAAAGTGAAATCTGAGGAGATCAAGGTAACAGAGCTGTGTGTATGTCACGCTAGTGTGTGTATGTCACGCTAGTGTGTGTATGTCACGCTAGTGTGTGTATGTCACGCTAGTGTGTGTATGTCACGCTAGTGTGTGTATGTCACGCTAGTGTGTGTATGTACGCTAGTGTGTGTATGTCACGCTAGTGTGTGTATGTCACGCTAGTTTGTGTATGTCACGCTAGTGTGTGTATGTCACGCTAGTGTGTGTATGTCACGCTAGTGTGTGTATGTCACGCTAGTGTGTGTATGTACGCTAGTGTGTGTATGTCACGCTAGTGTGTGTATGTCACGCTAGTGTGTGTATGTCACGCTAGTGTGTGTATGTGTAGTAGCTACACATACATCAGTGGCGGATCCAGGATTCGAAACAAGGGGGGGGGGGCACACTACAGGCTCAATGGAACAAGTTTACTTTTACAATGACTTTTGTGATACTCGAACATGTAAATGTATGGGCACTATTGGTATAATATAACAATCAGCAATTGTACCAACCAAACGGAAAAAAGACCTGTTTTATGATGTTTGTGATGTTTTATGAAGTGATGTAATTATTTAGTTCAAGTTGTATAGTAAAATGAATTGCCATGCGAAGTTTTGGACTGTGTACTTGCACTTGTACCGTCTTTGTTTTCGTACTACGAGTACAGTGCAGTACTAGACCAAAACCGTAGTTCTGGTGCGCACGGATCGCGGATCGCGGAATACAGATCGACGCGACGAGAGTTGACAGTTCACAAGTTCAGTACACGCGTACCGCGTATCGATCTACGGACCCGGTGAACCAGTGCATGAATGTGTACAGTGCATGCAGTACAGCGACTGGGCCTTGTCATCTACACAGGAAGTGCGCGCGAGCTCGGTTTCGATCGAGATCAGTAAAAAAAAAAGTCGGTCGGCGCTTCTGAAGGGGGGCACGTGTCCCCTTCGCCCTCCTCTAAATCCGCCACTGTACATGCATGTGTATGTGTTTATGCTTGTGTGTGTGTGTGTGTGTGTGTGTGTGTGTGTGTGTGTGTGTTTGTGTGTGTGTGTGTGTGTGTGTGTGTGTATGTGTTTATGCTTGTGTGTGTGTGTGTGTGTGTGTGTGTTTGTGTGCGTGTATGTTTCCATATACAAGTGCTGTGTGTATATTTAGAGCTCCTGTGAATTTCTAGCCCTTTCCGAAGGCTTTCGAAATCTGCACTTCACAGCATAGTGATTACCGTGAGCATATAGTTATGGCTGCAGCTGCAGGATAGGACTAACATATAGTTATGGCTGCAGGATAGGACTAACCTGTCATACAAACAGCCACTCCTTCTGTGGCCCTGGAACTGATGTACAGTAAACCACCTGTCAAGGCGACCACTCAGACCACTCAGATACCTGTCCCAGAAGACCACCACAACAAGAACCAAGGGATACTGTTTCCAGTCCAATAACCCTGGATAAGGGGACCACCTGGTAACAGAGACAGCTTTGAAGGTCCCTTGAGCAGTGGTCGTAGTAGACAGATTTCACTGTAGTTCACAGGTCAGTATTGAATAATGTTTAAAATGTAGTCCAAGCTCCCCCGCATGCGCTCTCGGTACAGATGCGGCGAACAGGCTGAAAGCTGCTGCTAGCACAGTCATGATGTTTAAAGAATGCTTTTGTACATGTACTTGCTGTGTATTGTCCAACTTGCCTTGCGTCCCTGCAGACCAAAGTTGCTTCTGCTGAAGCCACCGAGAAGGAGATTGACGACACGCGTAGCCAGTACATTCCTGTCGCACGCCGCACACAGATCCTCTTCTTCTGTGTAACGGATCTTAGCAATGTAGATCCTATGTATCAATATTCCCTGGAGTGGTTCATTGGCATCTTCAAGAACGGAATAGCAAAAGCGGAACCATCAGGTACACGACTAGGCAGCCAGGATGTTCCTACTTTGTAATAGTTGCCTCAGCGTAACTCGCTTTGCCAGTGTGTGCTACCTTGAGGTTGTGGTGTATTAGGAGAAAGGATATTACCTTTGCTATTGGCTGTAGTGACACTGGTACGATAGCTTGTGACTAGGATTGGTGCTTCAGAAATAGCATTGTCGGGTATGTGTGGGTGCGGGTGCATGTGTGTGTGTGCGCATGTGTATGTGTATGTGTGTGCATGCATGTCTATGGTGCACAGAGGATGTGGTCGAAAGGATCGGTCACATCAACGAGTTCTTCACATTCAGTCTCTACTCCAATGTATGTCGCTCGCTGTTCGAGAAGCACAAGCTACTCTTCTCCTTCCTGCTGTGTGCCCGCATATTGATGGATGACAACCGGATCAACATGGTGAGTGTGCTCTGCGGCGGTGTGTGAAATATTGGTGTGGTTTCCGAATCGCAACTCATTCTTACAGCTTGTTATGCCCAGGCTATTTTTCGACATGCTCCCTCAAATTCACTCATCATCCTTGTTCCTTTCGATCATGCTAGAAACAAGCGAATGCTCCCAATAGTGCTATACGTATGTTTAAGCGTAATACCTGGCATAGGATTCGTCTCTGTGGAAGATGTTCTATTGGACGGCTTACTTGCTTCAGGACCGTGATTGTGTGTGTAATGTGTGTGATGATATGTGTGCTGACATGTGCGTCTCATTTGAATGTACATTGCACAGGATGAATGGAGATACTTGCTAGCAGGAGGAACAACCAGTCCAGAGAAGATTCCCAACCCAGCCTCGGAATGGCTGAGTGAACGAGCATGGTTTGAATTCCTCAACTTGACTGTCCTCGTGAGTGATAAGAGTGTGTTTGTTTGTGTGTGTGCGTGGGGGGGGGGGGGTGGGGGGGGGGGGTGCATACTGGTCCTGGGGATCCACTAGGGGTGATGGTGATCGCAGACATGCCTTGTACTCACTGGTATGTGCTTTGGGTCTCCAGTTGTGCATCCAATGTGAACACATCGTTTGTCTGTGCCGCTGTCTCGGGGAGACGTGTGCAGTGTCATCTGTCCGTGTACAATACAGCTCACCAGATTGTCTGTGACAGTCAGACAACTCTGCATGCATACATTACAGTGTGCATTCCATGTCACGGCCCACTAACCAAACGCCTAATGATTTTGTATAGACAGTAGAAAGTCTTTCAAGTGCCAAACGAACAGTATTGGATCACAGAACACTTGCAGCGCCAATCATCCAAAAGTATTCTGTTACACGTTTGGAGGGCTGATGCTTCTTCCAATCATCCAGATATACATGGCCTAGGCTAAGCATTGGTCCGGTTTTTTTTCTCTCTACTCTACAGCCAACATTTGCAGCCTTTGCAACGGATTTTCCAAATCACACGGGTGCGTTCAGAGCTGTGTTTGACAGTCCTGACCCTCATCGGTAAGGCTATGAATCGGTTTTGCATACCTGTATGTTGAAGTGCAGCACCCCCACCCCCACCCCACAATCTTATGACAGAATCAACATGTCATTGGCGATTGAGTGCACTGCATGCCGTAGTGATGCTGCACAGGTGTATTGGATCATTGGTGTCTCAGCTTTACATGTATATCAATGTTCAGTACGGAAACAGCCGACCACCAATGCTTGATCCACAACACTGCTACAATAAAAATCAGCTCAATGCTACGTGTTTGGCCTATTTTGGATGGATATGATTTTAGCTATGGATGGATGTCTTTGAGTGTGTACTAGCTCTGGTGCACCCCAGCACTGTTGAGTACTCTTTGCAGTGGACATATATAAGCATAGCATAGCTCTTCTCCTGTGATGTACGTCCGGTCTTGATGTATTTCTTGTGCATGCAGAGAACCATTGCCAGGCAAGTGGAATGAGGACTTAGATACATTCCAGAAAATGCTGGTGCTGCGGTGTCTACGTGTTGACAAGATCACCAATGCAATGCAGGTAATTACCAACTGTCTCTGCAATCATGGGTAATGTATGCTTGTCGGTCCTTCTGTACTGTTAGGTTGCCATAGATCCACTTTGCTGAACCCTCCTACGATACCCGCCCTGCAACCCCAATGAACTGTATCATATTCAGTGCAGTATCCACAGCTGTGCACAGCAGAACTCCTCATGTTGGGATCGGGGCGCAATTCGTGACTAGGAATTGCCTGCAACTCAGAACGCAGACACTGTTGGCATGCAAGTAAATACTTTTCTATGCCAATTTGCTTTGATGTTATTTTTCATTGAAAGTTATCTTTTGTGACTCAAGAAGGATCGAAACGGTGCCCGGCTGACTGGAGTACCCGGATCTGGGGAGTATGGATTGGGGGAGTTTAACTGCACTGCCAAAGCAAGAGAAATGACGGAATAATGAAGACTTATGTGTTCATCAAAGTCCTCTCCTCCATTTCATAATGGTGATGGAAATGTCCAATCTGGCTTTAAAAATGCTTACGGTGCAATTGATTACTCTGTTCGACTTAGCTCTTGGTGGACGTCGTTTTCTATTTTTCCCTGCAGGATTTTGTCGCTCATCATCTTGGCCAACGTTTTATTGAACCTCAAGTAAGCCGAATGAACATTTGGACGAAAGAACATTTGAACCAGAGCTCGTTCAAAATTTCATGGTCATGTCCTCTGGTTTGTCAGCTTACAAATGGATACCTGAGTCAACGCACAAGGGTATCAGTTCTCTAGCTATTCACATATCTTGCGAATTGAGCTTCTTCGGATGCTGGGCAGGAGAATGTCACGAAATGTATATGATTGTGCCATTGTGAGTGAATGTAGTTCCCAAAATAGTTTCTTTATTTTAAAAAAAACTTTTGTTCTATTTTCCTTGTGCCAGACTGCGGATTTGAGTGCAGTGTTTGGGGATTCGTCACCGACAATACCTCTCATTTTTGTGCTGTCCACTGGAACGGATCCGGCAGCTAGCCTCTACAAGTTTGCTGATGAAATGAACTTCACACGGAAGCTGAATGCCATATCCCTTGGACAGGGACAGGTTCGTTTGTTTGTGTGTGTGTGTGTGTGTGTGTGTGTGTGTGTCCGTGTGCATGTATGTTTATATGTGTGGACATTACAGAATGTGTTCTATGTAGCTTTCTCCGATAGCGCCGAGTGTGGAACTCACCTGTACTGCGCTCAGTGCGCACGCCAGGCTAACCGTGTAGCTATTGCTACTGTTTATGTGTTACAGTGTATGTGCGAGCAGGATGGGATGGGGGGGGGGCTCATTGTACGGTGTATGTGTGTGTGTGTGGGGGGGGGGGGGCTTATTATGTTGGCTTCACTCTGTATGAGTGTGAGTGCAGTGGCACTGATCACTGGCCTTGTACAGCCGGCTCTGTCTACATTCGGTTAACTCCGCTCACTGCTCTGTCCACCACGTGCCTCTCTGTTCAGGGTCCGCGCGCTGAGGAATTGATGCAGCAAGCAATGGACCGCGGCAAATGGGTATTCTTCCAGAACTGCCACTTGTCGCCGAGTTGGATGCCCGCCCTGGAAAGACTGATTGAGAACATTGACAAAGAAAAGGTATGTGCACATCAAGAACCAGCAGTGCAGGTTTCTACTAGCTGCATTCCTGTTTCTCTTACCATGGATTAGCTTCACACAGCCCCTTTTAAAGGGGAAGTATGGTCTAGAATCAAAATTCCACTACTCGTAGTCTTCAGGGTGCTGACTCCAATGGTCTTGGTCCGAGGAAGCTGAGACACTCCCTTCCTCCTTTATTCCCAATCGAACTCGCTACTTCCACCAAAGCTGGGTGACTGCGCCCTACTAGATGGGGATGTGTACGCAAAACCACTAAAAGCACCACTTTGTTCTTGTAAAAGCACGGATGAACGCGATTGGCCCATATATTGTAGTCTTTTGGACGCTGAGTCGACTGGTTTTGGTCCGAGAAGGCTGCAATGCAGCATTCGGCCCTTATTACCAATCGGAAACGGTTGAGCAAGCGGTCACATGCTGATGCGTACACAAGCCACCTGATCACCGTGCCTGCAGGCTACAATTGTCACACAAAGGCTCAACTCGGATGACCGGAGCGCACGCTGACAGGCTGTAAGTGTTGTCTTGCAATATGGCTGTCTGCAGCCAACCCTGCACTAGTTATGACTGAGGAGGGATGTGAGAAAGAATAAAGGAGGAAGGGAGCGTCTCAGCTTCCTCGGACCATTTGAGTCGGCACCCTGAAGACTACGAGTAGAGAAATGTTGATTCTAGACCTTACTCTCCCATTAAAACTGGGATTAAAACTGGGAGCTGTACCTCTATAGCTATGTGTACTTCCTGTATATCTTTCAACTTGGGATGTGAAGAAGTAGACGATGATGCTGGCTGCTACGTGACAAATATTTCCTACGCAGCATCTAGATAATGTGTTTGTGTTCCCAGCGGGGTTCATTGTACAGTGCTGTGCCTCACTCTGTGTTCATGTTCCCAGCGGCATTCATTGTGTACTGTGTTTTACCGTGTGCACGCAGGTCCACAAAGACTTTCGACTATGGCTAACAAGTATGCCCAGTCCCAAATTCCCTGTTCCTATCCTTCAAAACAGCTCCAAGATGACCATTGAACCACCAAAGGGCATCAAGGCGAACTTACTGCGCTCATATACTGGATTCTCTGTCGAGTTCCTTGAGACCTGCTCCAAGGTAAGGTTTGATGTTTGTACACAGGACTGATGCCTTACAGACCTCTTAGCAAAAGTACACCAGTCTGCATCGCGCATAATTGATTGGTACGTGTGGATATTTTTCTGGATGGGGAATTCAGTATCGGTGTCGGTCACCTAGCACTACTCTGCGTGCGTTTCCAGGAGATCTGGATTCCGGAAGCCATCAGGTCATTGGTTTGTACTCGAGTTCTCTTCTGCAACTGTGGCGATGTGTTTATCTTGCCATCCCCGCAGGCCGAGCAATTCAAGGGCCTGCTGCTATCTCTCTGTCTCTTCCATGGCATCACGCTTGAGAGACGCAAGTTTGGAGCTCTGGGTTTCAACATTCCTTACGAGTTCACTGAAGGTGACTTGGCAATATGTATCAGCCAGCTGAAGATGTTCTTGAATGAGTACTCCGACATCCCATATAAGGTAAGCCATACTCTGGCTGGTTAACATTCCGTGTCGCATTATGAGACTTCCTGCATCATTGTATGAGCACTATGTGTACAGTATAGGTTGTGAAACAGAAGTACATGATTGTATGTATCTGTAAGCTAGGCAGATATATAATTATGTTGGACTCAGTAGGCAGTCGTTGTCATAATTATAAACAATCAGAACTCAGAAGTCCAGTAGGGAGTCAAATTCATGATCTAGTCATATGTTTATGATTCCGTCGAACTCCGGTGACTTCCTCTGTAGAAAGTCAAAACATTTCCAGTACGCAGTCAGAGTTTTGTCAGTTCGGATTTTTGGAAAGGTCACGCACCCGCTTCATCCACCAATCATGGACTACCGGTATGCAGGATAGTTTGAAGTGTGCATCAATGTCATATTGCACTCAACTTCTCAAGGAGCAGCAGCTACAACACTTTTCTGCGTTGGAGAATGAGTTGGAGAATTTATCGGAGCTGAAGCCAATGGAAATGACACCGCCACTAGCTAATCAGTGGACGTTTTGGTAGAACTTGACGGAGTGTGGAGGTCAGCTAGCTCTCGGCAAGGAAAGAATAATTCGCGTGGCGATAGACCTTCGGTAAAAGTATAAGCTATATCTGTAGCACCGGCGTACCGCAACAGCTACGATTTTAACTTGTCGATTTTTTACTTTTGCTTCAAGACATTCACATCTGCACTACTAGTACTTCTGAATGCTATTGTTTCCTGATCATGGGAAGCTGGAGCCTCATCAATGACAATCAAAGACTAAGCTCTTGCAGGAAACAATTGTATTGGTACTTGAAAATACTAGAAAGCTTTGGAACATACTAGTATCGCTTTGAATCAGCCTTTGCTACGTGATGAAGTGAACACTACATATCCGTTGACTTTGACTGCATACCAGGGATTCGACTGCTCATAGAGGCCTAGGGGCACATCATGCGACTGTTTACAGGATTCAAATTGTATACTAGACTCCCGACTGCCTATAGTGACCTAACTGCCTATTGTGACCTGACTGCCTATAGTGACCTGACTGCCTATAGTAATCTGACTGCCTATAGTGACCTGACTGCCTATAGTGACCTGACTGCCTATAGTGACCTGACTGCCTGTAGTGACCTGACTGCCTATAGTGATCTGGGTGCCAATAGTGACCTGACTGCATATAGTGACATGTCTGCCTATAGTGACCTGACTGCCTATAGTGATCTGACTTCCGATAGTGATCTGACTGCCTATAATGACCTGACTGACTATAGTGACCTGACTGCCTATAGTGATCTGACTGCCTATAGTGACCTGACTGACTATAGTGACCTGACTGATTATAGTGACATGTCTGCCTATAGTGATCTGACTGTCTATAGTGACCTACCTGCCTTTAGTGACCTGGCTGCCTATAGTGACCTAACTGCATGTAGTGACCTAACTGCCTATAGTGACCTAACTGCCTATAGTGACCAAACTACATGTAGTGACCTAACTGCCTATAGTGACCTGACTGCCTATAGTGACCTAACTGCATGTAGTGACCTGACTGCCTATAGTGACCCGAGTGCCTACTGAGTCCAACATATGTACTTCCTCCGCGTCATTAAAATTGTCGCTTCCCAGAGCGATTTTCGAATTTATTTTGTCCACTCGAGGGGCAAAGAAATCAGCTAGAAATTGAGGCAGAGCATTGTCGACGGACCAGGCTTTAGTTTGTGGCCTCCCGCTTCGCTGCACTTGCAGCTAAGGTCGACGTCTTCATCAGAGTTTGAGGCAGACCCTTCAGCACTCAACAATACGATGAAGAAGACGTGCGTTCAAATCCAGGTCAAGAAACTTCGTTTTCAAGCGATCCATGCCTCCAGGTGGCAGGGGATGAAGGCAAGCTAACATTTTCAAGTACACTGTAACGACCTTCCAGCAGGGTAGGTAAGCAGTTTCGCACCTTCTTTCCTTGGCAAGCGCTTCGCTGATTTTTTCGGGGTTTTCAGACCTGCTACCTTCGCAGCAACATGCGCCACAAGTAGCGCCTTTTAGGAACTTGAGACCACTTTGTTCTTGCCATCGTCAACTTCAGCATTTCGTGTTCAGGAGAGATACCAGGATTCTTATACCCGGGCTTGCAGTCTTGATAAATGCCCACTCGAACGATGTGGGACGGCACGAACTCCAGAAAACGAAATGCGCTCTGGGGGTGAATAGTGTGGAGCGCGATGAATTTGCTTGGTGCGGAAGAGAGCTCCGACAAAGTCCGTGACCACCACGGCTTCAGTAACAAGTAGACATTGCGCAGGAAGGGTCGCACCAGTGTTCGAACACAGAAAACAGCGATTCCGGCTGTCTGACGAAGACGAGCCAAGTCACAAATATTGCAATGTGCGAAGCGACAATTTTAATGACGCGGAGGAAGTACATGTATGTACTTTGTACCTTTCACCTTAATTTTGACCTTTGCGCTAACTTGTACATTACTGCAGTGGACATTTATTATTCCCTTACCCCTGATTGAAACAACAGGTGACTTTCCTCAGCCATTGCTATTGTTCACATGAACGAATTTTGCGTGCACAGCTGCAATCAACTCGATTCCTATTTCACTTCATCTTGGTAGATTTTCACGATCCATGGCTCATTGGAAAGATCAGGATAATATGAAGATATCCGTGATGTTTTCAGCACCCTAGGCATGTCAGGCCTACTTCCATGTCCTCTCTAAGCTGCCCTACCATGCATCAGATTCATGAAACAACTTCATCTCACACTTTCTTTTACCTCCTTTCTCACACTCAACTGATTTTCACGATTCAAAGTGAGTTGGAAATCTAAAATTCAAGAGCTCCTTCTGTTACCCATTACGCAAGCGCCGTGGCCATGGGAAATCCCCAAGCACCTGCAGAATTGCGAGTAAAAGAACGTGTCCATCGCCAGAGAGCACATTTTCAAGTTTCTTCTTGTTGCCGCTCGGGTCGATTGTTTCCCTGTCGCAAAGAACTGTCCATCTACGGAAAGCTGAGAGCAAGACCTTTCCAACTTTGCTTGGGTTATTGCAATGGGTTGCTATTTGACAGAGAAACAAAAATGTATACAGATGTCTATCTGCCGAGCGACGTACACTATACAGTGCAGGACGTCTAAAGACGTCATCCGCCAAATAGCACACCGTTTTCCATTACGTCTAAAGACGTCATCCGCCAAATAGCATACCGTTTTCCATGACGTCTAAAGATGTCATCCGCACTGAAAGGTTAAGGTGATCCAGGCTACATTGCCCGCATTACATGGACAAGCTGATTAGTTCTTGTGGAGAGGGTGAATTATTGTGGAGAGAGAGAGGGGGGGGGGGGTAGTGGGAGCGTAATATTGCATGACCTGTGTGAACTCTGTATGCATACACATGTGTGTGTATTGTGTGTATGTGTGTATAGGTCTTGACGTACACTGCTGGACATATCAACTATGGCGGACGAGTCACCGATGACTGGGATCGGCGATGCCTCATGAATATTCTACATGACTTCTATGATCCTACAGTGCTTAAAGACGATCACGCCTTCTCGCCGTCGGGAATCTACCACCAGTTCCCAGGCAACACGGAGCATCAAGTGAGTATGGTTATGTAGGACTTGTGCCATGACAGCATGGAGATGTTTGTTTCTGATGGTATGAACCCCGTATACTATCTAGCAAGAAGATATTGCACAGAGAGCCTGCAACGATTCAATGCCTGGCTTCCGCCCCAGTACATAGTGGAAAGGAGGCTAACGTTACGACTGTTGTGATGGGAGATCAATTTTACAATTGCAGTTATATTAAAGTGGTGTCATGCAAAGTCACCAATATCAGATTTTTTCTGGTATGACCCATGGAGCGATGATCGTCAGCACTGTATTCATGACTTTGGGCAGTTTGGGCAACTGAAAACCACATTTCGGAGAGGATTGACAGTGGGCGCTGGCACCTCAACATGCCGCTCTATAAGAATTATGAGATGTTGGTTCTGCTGATTTGTTTGTTGCGCTGTGTACGTGCAGGTGTATGTGGAGTACATCAAGAACTTGCCGATCAACGACACACCAGAGATATTTGGCTTGCATGAAAACGCTAACATCACGTTTGCCCAGAACGAAACGTTCTCGCTTCTCGACGGCCTGTTGACCATGCAGCCAAAGACTGGCAGCGGCAAGGGCCGCTCTCGGGAAGAGGTTAGCGTTTCAATTTTATGTTTTGTCCTTTTCCTCGTTTCTTTTTGTTCTCCACCTGTCTGCCAGTAGGGCTGTGTTAATAGTAAAAAATAAATAAAAATAAAATCCATTTACCGTACTCACTTGATTAGAAGCCCCTCTCGAATAGAAGCCCCTCTTGAATAATAGCCCCCCTACAAGGACTGTTTGAAAAAATACAAGCCCCTCTCGAATAGAAGCCCTGACTACTATTCGCAAAGCATGGGGTGACCAGGTAGTGCCATGTATGAAGGAGTGCAAAAAACATCTCGTGCATGTTCATATTGGTGCATGTTCTGGTCGACGTAGTGTGTGCAAACAAACTCGGGGACGAGTTGCTGTGAATATGAAAGTTTTAGAGATTCGATTGGAATACTGGAATGGAATGAAACAATAAAAAAACCTTCTCCAATAGAAGCCCCTCTTGAATAGAAGCCTCCTCAAAATTGGTATTGAAAAAAATAGAAGCCCCCGGCTTCTAATCGAGTGAGTACGGTAATATAGGGTGGTATTGTGTGCATAGGTGTTTCGGATGTGTGCTGTTTCGCAGGCATTGAACTCTTGGAGTTTGCCACAGCACGGTTTCCCTCGCTGGGTCAGTGCTCAGGCTACGTGAGAAAACCCACACAGATGGCAGCCAACACCTAACGTTTTTTTCTCTCTGGGATTTTCTTTCATGACTTTCTCTCCAGGTGGTATCTGAGACGGCTAACAGCATTCTAGAGCGTGTCAGTGATCCACTGAACCTGTCGGCGGTGATGAAGCGTTACCCCGTGCTTTACGAGGAGAGCATGAACACTGTGCTCATACAAGAGGTCATCCGCTACAATCGCCTGCTGACCACCGTGAAGAGAACGCTGCGTGACATGCTGAAGGCGCTCAAAGGCCTGGTGGTGATGTCCGCAGAGCTGGAGAAGATGTTCAACAGCCTGTACAACAATGCCGTTCCAGACCTTTGGGCCGGCAAGGTAGGCACTGTGGTGGCACGATGTACATGCATACACCCGGTACTGAATGCTAGCCGTGTCAAGTAGACCATCTGACACAGATCCTGTCTAAAGTACTGTGGAGACTGGTTGACAATGCACTCGTGTGGTTTGTGTTTTTGTACACTCTTTCCCTTGCACATACCATAATGTAAAGTACACTGTGCCCTCATGGCACAGATTTGAATGTATACAGTTAGAAATGCTAGAACGTCTCGTTGATATACTTGTATCCGATCTGCACAGGCATACCCGTCGCTGAAGCCACTTGCGTCTTGGGTGACGGACCTTGTGACTCGCCTGGACTTCATACAAGGCTGGGTGGACACAGGAATTCCAACTGTCTTCTGGATCTCGGGATTCTTCTTCCCGCAAGCCTTCCTCACTGGCACACTGCAGAATTTTGCGCGTAGAGAAGTGGTGTCTATTGACACGATTTCGTTCGACTTCGAGGTGAGTAGAGATTGCTCTGCCAACGTGTTCGCTCTTTGCACATGTGAAACGACATTCACACATGCAGCAGCAGAGGATATATTGAGCACGAGTAACTGTTACGAGTGCTACTGTTATGACGCAAACTGTACTGCAACATTATTATCGCACTACAAGCAGCCCTTCCCGTCATCAAAGCTGACGAGAGCTCTTGTTCACTGTCTGTGGTTGTGCGGTTGTGTCCAGGTAATGAAGCAGCAAGCAAAGGATCTGAAGGAGAGGCCAGCCAGTGGCTGTTACATACATGGTTTGTTTCTGGAGGGTGCTCGTTGGAATGCTGAAAATCACGAGCTTGGTGAGTCTCGGCCCAAGGAGCTATACACAGACATGCCCATCATGTGGCTGAAGCCGGCTGAAAACCGCGTTGCACCGACCAGTGGCTTCTACGAGTGCCCGGTATACAAGACACTTCAGCGAGCAGGTAAGCTCAGCCATACAGTGCCGTCTGTACTGCACAACTGGTCGCTGCTAAGCTCAGCCATACAACAACATGTGAACTGCACAATTGGTCAATGTTTCGCACAACCGTGTGTTACCGTGTTCAAGGGTCTGGCAAGCTGCCAGTTACCCACAAGCTTATCAACACAACATCAAATCCTGGTTGCCAGTACAGGCCATGACATGACACTGCTAGGGCATGGGATCACACTGCTAGGGCATGGGATCACACTGCTAGGGCATGTGATCACACTGGTAGGGCATGGGATCACACTGCTAGGGCATGGGATCACACTGCTAGGGCATGGGATCACACTGCTCACTAGCCTCAATGATGAAAGCAATTCTAGAACTGATCGCAAGCACTTTGCAATTACTAGGTGTTAACTGGTGTGTCTACGTTTTATTGTTATCCTTCACAGGTACCCTCTCAACAACCGGTCATTCAACAAACTATGTAGTCGCTGTAGAGGTACCCTCCAGCAAACCACAGAACTACTGGATCAAGCAAGGCGTTGCTCTCCTGTGTGCATTGAACTACTAGACTGTCCAGTCTGCGAAGGACCTGGCACGAACGGGCAGTGAGACGGGCAGTGAACATGTGCTGGCACGTGTAACTCTGAAGATGCACAATGAAATTATGCATGGTTGATGCCCATGCATACAATGGATGTTGTTTCCGGTTACTTTTTTTTCCATATAATTATTCCAAGTTCATTTGTGTTTTGTAAGGTGATGCATTTACGCGTGGTGCGTGGCAATGGGGTTGGTTTTAGTGTCAGTGAATGGAAGTTTCATCTTGTTTTGCTGTACGAATATTGATGATTATTGATGGTAGTAATGCTGGTGGGAGTCAGGCAGATGCCAGTGTTTTCCTTTGCTGCTTCTCAATTTGAATGTAAGTCGTTTGTAGTCCCGGATGATTGTGAATGTATGAAGTAAATATACTTTGAGTATGCTTTCTCTTTGATGCCAGGATATCTGCAGTATTTTGAAAATTGGTTTTAGTTGCATACATAGAACATGTAGAATACTGTACTTCATTTACAATTGTATATCACTGGTCACCGGCAGTGCCGTTAGAATATTGTTAGGTTACATGGGAGATATAATCTAGAGCGGGCAACAGCTGGAGGCGAAGTAGTCGCAAATGCGTATTCATGTCGAGTGGTGTGTGTGTGTGTGTGTGTGTGTGTGTATGTGTGTGCGTGTGTGTGTGTATGTGTGTGGTGTGTGTGTGTGTGTGTGTGTGTGTGTGGTGCGTGTGCTTGTTCTCGCCGTTGTGGACGGCCTGGGGTGTCCCCAGCTGTCCTCGCAAACAGTGCCTGAGGTGGGGTCTTCAACGACAGGAGACTCGGTCGGATAGTTACGATGCCAACACTCTCCTCGTCGCCCCCACCTCGGAGTCCTTCGCGAGGCCTTGCAAGCCCGCAAGTGGAGCAAACTACCGCACGAAGACGACGACTTGGAACGACTCTGAGCATTGGCTCATGGAATGTTCGCTCTGTTGTGGAGCGTGATGGACCAGTTCAAGCGGCAGCCGTGAGAGGAATCGTTTCCGATGATAAGCCAGATCCATAGCTGCCAGAGATGGCTCTCTCGAACATGGTCCCTGAGTCCCTGACCTAGTACCTCTCTCTCAGCAGACTGCCGTCGCTCGTCGTTCCATATTGTCGGCCCCGCAAGGGGACACGTGACCGCAATGGCAGTGTTTACCAGGACCAGTGTGTGTGTCACAGCGTGTGTGTGTGTGTGTGTGTGTGTGTGTGTGTGTGTGTGTGTGTGTGTGTGTGTGTGTGTGTGTGTGTGTGCATGGTGTGTGTGTGTGTGTGTGTGTGTGTGTGTGTGCATGTGTGTGTGTGTGCGTGCTTGTGCGCATGTGGTGTCGTTTAGTTGAGTTAGTGAGTACACTTAGGTCAGATAGTGTTGTTCTGTTGCCAATGGGTTGCTGCTTGAAGGTGTGTCGTTGTACCTGCCATCTTGCTGGCCTCAGGGATGGTATACATGTACTTTTGTATTTTAGGTGTATAGAGAAAAAAATGTTTTGCTCTTCATTATGCAGTTGGTTCGGCCAGTGACTCTGAACTCTGCGGCTGATGAGTCCTACCCAACAAGGTCGAAACAGCTTGCTTTCCGGAGATTGAAAATACTACACACATCATTGTATACGTAGTAGAGTACCAGTAGAACTTGTCAAGCAGCTGGAAAGGCAGGATGAGATGAAAAAGAAAATATAAATCTCTGTTTTACTAAAAGGAAATGCAATCGAGTCACTGGAACGTCAGCGACGCTCGGAGATAGAACAGCAGCCAAGTGTATGATAAAATGTGCGAAGTAATTGCAAGACAAGACAAAGCCATGGCTGGTGACTCACGTATTGTTGCATTGCTGTCATCTACATTAGTGTCGTTGTTGGTTTCAACTCTGGCGTTTCAACTCACTCAATAAACAGTTGTCACAGTAACATAATGGCAAGCGCACGGGAATGGCTGATAATGATGGAAGAAGAATAAGAAAGCTGAAGGATTGTTGTGGGGTGTATGTACATCAAGAATAACGCCTCGTGGGCACGGCAGTGCTGGCACATGGTGGTGCCATTTCCTAGTCCTAGTTTAGGAACTCAGGTGAATTAGAGATCATCGCTGATGCGTGTAATAATAACATATATAATGCGAAGTACATGTGCCGGGTGCTGAAATGCATTGTGGCTAAAAAACAGCTTGACTATATTCAGAATCGCTATACTCCTTCAACATGGGCCAGTTCCAGTACATGTTGGCTACCAAGGCCGCTGTTGAGAGTACATGTAGCCTGGTTACTCAACGATTGTGCTGGTGCTGATTTTGATCTTGTAGAGTATAGAACAACACAACAGCGACAAGAACTAAAACTAAATACCACAATACTTCACATGCTCCAAGCGTTAAGGTCTGTCCGTGGCACAGACTGTAGATGACAAGTAGTGCAAGAATAATTATCTGGATACGGAGCAGCGTGCAGTTGAGCTCTGGGACATGGGCTTGCTGTGCTTGCCGCTGAGGACTGGGGTTAGTTGCGCTATGCGATGCACCACCATTGATGAATGGCTGCAGCTGCTGCTGCTGTTGTTGTTGTTGATTACCCTGGTGGTAGTGTTGGAGCTGCTGGGGTTGGTAGCTATGATCATTTGAGTCGCGAGGGAAATCAGAGTAACCATTGTCCTGATCAGTACTCACTCGAACTGTTGTTGGAAAATCCTCCGTACACGGAATTGGCCTGTTCTCATGCTGACGAGAAGCATGTCGAAAGTGCACGTCTCCATTTCCAAGCTGCGTGCCATCTCTGTACACAGTTGGGTGTAGGGGTTGGGAAGCTGTAGGTGACGGGACTGTGTCGTCGGTGCCTTCTGTCTGATCTTGGTCTGAAGGACCGACCTCCTCGCAGATAGGCGCACCACCTCCCAATATATGCTCCGCATGACCATTCTGCTGCAAATCGGCTGGTGGCTGCACTACGTTTTCCTGTCTATCTTCTTGCTGTACAGGCAATGCTGTGGCTGCTTGGCTAGTCGGTCTCTTTCCATTGTTGAAAATAGCCTTAACTTCAGGTAGGAACGGAGATGTCAGCTTAACCACGGCATCAAACTCTGCATACGGGCAGTTCATTGGCAATCAACCCCACACAGACAGGCAGTCACAGAGGGACAGACAGACGTGAGACAGACAGACATGCAAAGGTGTAAAGCCAGACCACACAAAAATAGCAGTGCTAGACTGATTGGAGCCAAGAGAATTGAAGCTAACACAAACAGTGTGGCCGTGGAGTCACCAAGCTCCGGAAGGGATAGTGGTCAGGGATGGGGTGACTCACCGCATCCCTGACCCTGTCTGGAGTCACAAGTTCTCCGTTTATACCTGGAGTTGAGGCTGCGGATTCAACACCTTTGTTTCGTGCAATGCATGCTGACGGTACAACCCACCTGCCAGTGTGTACGTGACCTGCTCCGGTACATGCCCTCACGCCGGGTCGATTGTACCGACTTGCCATGCATTACCTTTCCATGCACCGGGCGACGGGCCGTACAGCCACAGCACACCCTGTACCCTGCAGTTCAAGTACTGTTATTACAACTCTTGCAATGCAATTACCTCTGGCGAGCTTCAACGCTATTCCACCGTTGACACCAGGCTGAGCGAGCTGCCTCACGAACAGTTGGAACGTCTCCACTGTACCCTTGGCACGTACATACTCGACCAGCAACCTTCGGCGTTCGTTCTCTATGGGCGGTGCTTCAATCTTCTGTTTTGCATCACTACCTGCATCAATTCCATCCTTATGTCCGATCATTCCCTCTAGTACAGAACGCCAGCACATCGACCTGGTCAGTAACGGGCGATTGTCGTCTAGCAGGGCACGGCACCTGGCATTATTTCGCTCCTGATGTGCGTACTCTTCCCTAAGAGCGTTCAGCTCAGTGCTGTTTTCATCCTCGTTGTCCATTGATAATCTCCGTGACGCTCCAGGACCACAACAAGCGGCACAGACACTACACTTCTAGCAGGCCGATAAAAGTTCGACACTACCGCGGCCTCGTCAAACTGCTGCAGAAGTAGTAGCGACTGGGGTGGGTGTCCGTCTGATCGATGAGGAAATGGCCAGTTCCTCCCGGTTTTTGTTTTGCTGTTTATAGCACTAAAGAAATTCTAGACAAATCGATGTTCCTACTACAAGTAGTATCAATACGACATAGATCTGCTAACAAGCAGCAGCAGCAGCAGTCCTTGTGAGTTGAAACCTTCTTAGCAGATGTACAGGAATCACTACAAGGCCTCGCGTAGCGATTCCCATCGGAGCAGCCTAGAAGGGAATCATTGCCTGAGCTCGAGTCCAACTGCCCGCCGCCTCAGCTCATACCCTGGCCTGGAATCAAACTGAGCCTACGCTACACCAAACACTGCACTCAACACACGTAAAAGCACACTGACATGTCGACCTAGAATCGGTGAAAGGGACAACAACAAACCTCCATGGAATTTTTATCAATATCAAACTGTCGTGCACTCGAACTCGGCGACCCACCCGGCCAGGGCTAGGATCTTCTGAATGCGAAAGCTCCACACTCGCTTTTTTGGCTCAGTGACTGCATGCACCATGTGCACAGATCAATGGCAATGGCAATGCAATGCCAATGCTACACGCAGCTCGCTAGTGATCTACTGACTTCTAAGTACGTAAGTATTAGTTAGTTTTATGTCATAGCGAGTGCACTACCAACGGAGGGAAAGCACCGGCAAGGAAGTTGAAGGAACCCTTCACATTCTTCTTACGTCACCTAACCTGTCATGCTAGCTACACTCATGCAATATTCATGAACACTTCTCACTCCGTCCGCGACTTCGTCAAATAATCTCAACACAACTGATGATTCGGTAACTAGGCTATAGCAATGCACTAGAAAATGCAATGCGGCGGTGAGGTAAGTTCTGGTCAGAGAAATCCAACCTGATCAGAATAAAGTAGCGCCGCACTCAAGTCCGCAGAGAAGTGTGCAGGGTGTTAGGGCCGCGGAACGACGGTCAATAAATGTAATGAGCATAAAGGAAGGTGCAAGAAACGGCGCATAGGAAGACCATTCGGGTTTGAGCAGGGGAGGGCAAACTCTCCATTATAGTTTGAAAACTACATTTCTTCTTCCTCCATCTCAGTTCCATTTCAAAACTTGTGACCTCGAATTTAATATTGTCAATGTAATAGTGCTCCTAGTGATAGCAGTGTCCACCACTAGCGGTGTTTACTAATTTCAACTTTGCACTACTGGCACGTGATTATGCGCCGATTAGCTCCTACATTTTACTTTTAGTAATAGACAAATACTAGCAACATTAAATGTTACAGTGCATAGTGCATAGTGCATCTAGGTTGTAGATTGATCTCAGAACTTAGTAGTGTTGTGGGAGCCGGAGTAGAATGATGATAATTGCCAGGGTGTCAACGGTCGCTTCTAAACACATGTGCCAGTGGTTGCCTAGGGGTGGTATTGCATTACAAGTGAGCATGCCACGACAATGCCGGTAAGGATAACGATGTGCTGTGCGCGGTCTGCAGGTGCCAGCAGCAAGCAGGTCAGACCGAGTCCACTGATAGCAATGGCCGGAAACGATCGTGATGAATACCAGGGAACATACCCATCAGCTGCTGGTTCTGTTGCTGCTGCTGCTGGTGGTTCTGTTGCTGGTTCTGCTGCTGGTTCTGGTGCTGGTTCTAGTTCTGGTGAAGGCAGTGCTGCATACGGTGAAGGTGGTACAGGTGGTGATGGTGGTGGTGAAGGCAGCTGTCTACAATCAACATTGTCAGATGTGTTGTTGTCATAGGGGTAATCTGTATCTCCCACGTCTGCTACCAAATCGGGTTCAGCATGCTCGCTTGACCGCTCAGCAGCTTCATTACGTGACTCTTGACAGGCTATTATGGTAGGACGAGGACCAACTGAAACCGGTGCTCTTGGCTCCACTGTGTCAGACTGTTCCACCTGTACGGGCACACCGCACACTTCCGAAGATGTACTTACTGCCCGATCCAATTCTACAACAGGGCTGTTTTCTCCTAACTGAGACTCAGCAGTGCTCATTTCACGAATACTCACTGATTGCTCGCTCTCTAGTTCGGCTAAAGTTGTGATTAATAAGCTGGACGATAATGGATGCCCGTCTACGTCACTCGCAGGATCGACCGGCACTTGCGGTAAGTACGTCAAGCCGGCTTGTGACATTGATCCAGCGACCGGTAGCGGCGGGAGGGTTTGGTGTGGGGGGAGAACACTGCCTGTGATATTGGTGGTGGTGGTGCTGCTGGTGCTGACAGCTGTACTGCTTGCTTGGCCATCATTGCTCGAGGTACTTGTCCTGCTGCCCTTGGCTGTGCTAGCACCGCTTTCGGTTATCTCTCGTACTTGTGACAGCAATGGCGGCTTCAAATCCAGCTGTGCATCAGCATCTGGGCACATAACACAACAACACATTCCAGACTGATGGGGATCAAGGTGTGTCAGCACTTGCGAGCCGAATCCCAGCTCGAGAATTTACTAGACCTGAAGTCCGATAGGGGTTGCCGAAAACCGGAGGGTACATGGATACACACTGCGTGTATTTGCCATGTCATTCTTGCAGCCAAGCGGGGAATTATTTCCAATCATGTCCGTGACCAGCTCAGCATGGAATACGCCACACGCTGCAAATTGACGCTCCACCTTATAATTTTCACAGGGTTGTGTCTTGCCTATAGAAGAATGTGGCACATACAACAATACTATCTGGCAGTGAATAAGGTAGATACAGTGCTTGGGCGTTCAAAGCCATACCGAATTAATGCAGATGTGTCATTTATAGAAGTGATGTGGACGCATACCACAGTGGGTGCTGGTATTTGCTCTCGCGCTCCATTGTGTGTGTGTGTGTGTGTGTGTGTGTGTGTGTGTGTGTGTGTGTGTGTGTGTGTGTGTGTGTGTGTGTGTGTGTGTGTGTGTGTGTGTGCGTCCGTACACACAAAGATGATATGCGGCTGAAAACACTTCGAAGGATGTCTTCAGCATAGGTTCGAGAACATTTTTGATCATCCCCATTTAAATGATACTACAGTGGAGATTGGATATAACGACCTTGGGTATAACGACCTTGGGTATAACGACCTTGGGTATAACGACCTTGGGTATAACGACCTTGGGTATCACGACCTTGGGTATAACGACCTTGGGTATAACGACCTTGGGTATAACGACCTTGGATATAACGACCTTGGGTATAACGACCTTGGGTATAACGACCTTGGATATAACGACCTTGGATATAACGACCTTGGGTATGACGACCTTGGATATAACGACCTTGGGTATAACGACCTTGGGTATAACGACCTTGGGTATAACGACCTTGGGTATAACGACCTTGGGTATAACGACCTTGGATATAACGACAAATCGAGTTTAGCGACACAATTCTGTTGCCCAAGTCGTTTAGCAAGTCCTTTCTGTACATTATAGATCGGGTATAACGACCTCGAAAATAACGACAGATCGAATTTACTGACACTTTTTTGGTGCCCGAAGAGCAGAAAAACAGTGAAAATACATCGGGTATAACGACTTTCCTCTTGCATCAGGCAGACTGGCATGTCTGGAACATGGTATATTATTTATGGCTGTGCCACGTGCTCGGACCTCCGGGTCACTCATGTGTGCTTTACATTACACGTTGTAGCCGCAGTGCAGCGGTGCGGTATGACTTTACCTTGAACAATGCATGCAAGACACATGACTGTACAATCATACATATCTGTTATCCACATGTACAATCATACATATCTGTTATCCACATGTACGATCATGTACTAGTACAATGTATACATGTACTTGTATCTACAATACATTTCTGTCCTTTTGATATACATGTTGCATACTAAATGTGAAGATCGGGTTTAGTGACAGATCGAATATAGCGACATTTTGCTTTCTCCCGAAAGAGTGTCGTTATATCCAATCTCCACTGTATACACAGCTCTCATAAATCTCTAATTGCTCACCTTCAGCAATACGCTGTGCCAGTCTTGGATTTGCCTCAGGTCGCGCCAGGCCGCGCACAAATGATCGGAAAGTGTCCAGTTCTCTGGACATGACGGCGTCCAGGAGATACCTCCTGCTTCGGCGATCGTGGTTCGCTCGACTAATGCGTTCTGTTTGATCGCCATGGTGCACTCCGTTATTGGGATCGCTCAGCAGATAATCTAGAACGGCTTCCCATTCCAACTTGTCAATTAGTTCTAGCCTATAGCAATCTAATAGCTCTCGGAATGGTCGTTCCGCTCTCCGCTGAGCGCTCACCTGTTCGTGCACATCACTAGCTGCACTACGCGTACTACCAGTACTCGGACTAGGTGCAGGCGCAGCGCCTGCTTGCGTGCTGGCTTCCCCGCTCGCAGACATTTCGTCCAATATTTGCTCGGCGCAACAGCTAGCAGGAATAACCTGTCCTTGCACCAGAAGGTGACAGTTAATTACCCAAGTCACTAATGTCTTAGTTCGTTGTCTGATGATTGAATCAGGTATTGAGCACTTTCGCAGAACCAAAGCGGCCTATTGCCTCTGTGTAATATCTTAGTTAGTTAGTTACAGAGATCTGCGGCGATCAGCCTACTCAGCTACTTCACTCTTCAACTAGCTACTCTCTTTACTTACTAACTTTTTTACTTTAAAATACTAGTCTTTTCTTGGGTCTTGATCTTGGCCCTTGCCTTGGGCTTGGGTTTTGAACTTTTGATTATTTTTACTGTTTTTTACATTTCTTTTTCTTTTTTACTGTATTTTGAGTTGCACGTTGTGACATGGCATGGTATAGATTAGATATAGCCTAGTACTAGTAGTACTACTGTAACGTGCGTCGGCGAGGCTAGGAGGCTACTACCCACAGTCAGTCAACTACAGTAACGTATCAGAACTTACTCCGGCACGGCCTGGAGGTTATCTTATATCAAAGTGAAAGTGAACTTGCTCTCTCTCTGATCTCTGCTCTCAGCTCCCAGCTCAGCTCAGCTCATCTTGGCAGAGAAACACAGCAGCTTTTATAGGCAAGCAAAGTATGTATAGCAAAGCAGGCGGCGGTAGGAAAGTAAGCTTAGTAAGCCATTGCAGTGATTACGAAATCATCCTCCTAGTACAAGTTCTAGAATAGTGGAGAAGGCAAACCGAGATCATCATTGCTATACAGGTAGATGAAGTGAGCATTACGTAACATTAACATAATGACTAAGCGAGGTATTCTAGAAGATGAGATATCTATATTATGCAATTTAGTCAGCAACATTACTCATCGGGCATATGACGTGGAAGGTCTGGAATAGTCCGGAACAACATGACATACATGTACATGTGTACATGAGTCATGACTGTACCAACTAGTAACTAAAAGGAAGTGATACTAGAAGTGATGACAGCAGCATGCATGGAATCTATGATCTTCTAGAAGCGCGGTACTCCTGATGTAATCAAATCATATGTGAGGTACATGATGTAGGACTTGTCTGAAAGTAGTAACAAGAGTAATAATAAGAGTCATGCAAAGTACTAGTCATGCGTTAACTGTAAAGCAGGGATACTACACCCTCCCTTCCTACACTAAATCACGCCCTCGTGATTTGACAGAGAGTTCGATGATGTATGATGAACAGTACTCACTAGAACTAGAAGGCACCGTCAGTAGGTGGACTGGACAACTAACTTGCATTCACGTCCATGTATTCTTGAATCTTGAACAGAGTGCTTGATATTCGGACGAAAGGGTGACAACTGACACTAGTAGTAGTAGTAGTAGTAGTAGTAGTAGTAGTAGCTCGAGCTCAGCAGCAGATCATAGGAGGCGGTGTGAACGTCATAGTAGATAGCGTATTACTTGTAGAGCGTCAACCGGAATATGGCAAATAATATCGGAACTGATAACATTTTTAGAGTAGACAGAAGAACTGAACTGATAACAAATCAAAAATAGAAGCACACCAGGTTCTCACCATCTCACGGGGTCAAAAAGGGAATATTGTCCTCCAAACAGGACCGAAAAAACTACAGCTCACTTGCTGCACAACCCTGGCACAACCTGCCAGCCAAATCGCAGTTCCAAGCCGAACTGAGTACACAAGGGCATTCTCACACACATTGTCCCAGGTTAGCTAGGTAGACCGTGGCTCACCATGATCGGACGTCTACCGGACTAAACTGGATTCACTCACTCGCATAAAGGAAGACTGAAGAGAACAGAAGGACTGAAGGAAGACAGGAAAGAGAATGCCATACCCGGAATTAGCTTACATTGGACATGGAGCTTGATCGGTAGAGACGCTGTCCGTCATCATTTCGGGCTAGGGGGAGACATGGCGGGCGAAGGAGTAGCGGCGACTGACGCATCAGGTTGGGCCATGCTGGTACTGGTTACACCAATAAAACAATTTACTGCTGCCATCAATTCTGTAGCGCCGCTGCCATCAATGCAGTACAGATACTAGATGGGTTCGAATCTAGCAATTATAAAATTGAACCATCGCTGCCACCAATGTAACGTATCCCACCGCTGCCACCAATGTAACGTGCGTCGGCGAGGCTAGGAGGCTACTACCCACAGTCAGTCAACTACAGTAACGTATCAGAACTTACTCCGGCACGGCCTGGAGGTTATCTTATATCAAAGTGAAAGTGAACTTGCTCTCTCTCTGATCTCTGCTCTCAGCTCCCAGCTCAGCTCAGCTCATCTTGGCAGAGAAACACAGCAGCTTTTATAGGCAAGCAAAGTATGTATAGCAAAGCAGGCGGCGGTAGGAAAGTAAGCTTAGTAAGCCATTGCAGTGATTACGAAATCATCCTCCTAGTACAAGTTCTAGAATAGTGGAGAAGGCAAACCGAGATCATCATTGCTATACAGGTAGATGAAGTGAGCATTACGTAACATTAACATAATGACTAAGCGAGGTATTCTAGAAGATGAGATATCTATATTATGCAATTTAGTCAGCAACATTACTCATCGGGCATATGACGTGGAAGGTCTGGAATAGTCCGGAACAACATGACATACATGTACATGTGTACATGAGTCATGACTGTACCAACTAGTAACTAAAAGGAAGTGATACTAGAAGTGATGACAGCAGCATGCATGGAATCTATGATCTTCTAGAAGCGCGGTACTCCTGATGTAATCAAATCATATGTGAGGTACATGATGTAGGACTTGTCTGAAAGTAGTAACAAGAGTAATAATAAGAGTCATGCAAAGTACTAGTCATGCGTTAAAGGGGAAGTCCGGTGAAAAATTTAAATTTCAGGGTCGGTAGAGTTTCGGGCGCTGAGTCGAATGGTGTTGGTCCCACGTGTCTCCGACAAAGCGTTCTCGAGATATTTCCGTTTGAAAAACTGAGTTTCGGGGGCTGCGCCATGACGTCATGCGGCCGCGCCACACCCTCTGCAACGTCATAGCGTGCAGCTAGGTCAAAAGGAGTGCGTGAAAGCAATAGTGTCAGTGCTATTTCAAATGATTTGGCGACTGATAGTTTGGTGCAAGCGACCCCGAAGACCTGTAACTCCTTGTGAGAGTGAGGATGCAGCCATGGCTGACCTTCATGAGTTCGGTCTGGGGCTGAGAACCTCGGTATTCAGCTGAAGAAATGGCCACGCGGGCCGGTCAAGAGTGAGCGCTACTGAGTTTCCGACTGATGAAGAAGCAGCAGCTATTGCAGACGAGGCTGATCAGATCGCTGGAGAGCAGGGTCGCCAAAATGGAGAAGAGTGATGCGAGTGCTCTAAATGTTGTTCCATACCGATTAGATTCGCTTAGACTCCAGTAGCCTGCCACATGGTGATGTTTTGGTGCGAACTTGGAATATTTCGGACTACTCAATTGGAGAACAGTGCAGGCTCTTTGAACCACGGGCACGACTCTTCGCTCGCAACGCTATGGAATCTGAAAGTTCTAGGTCCGGGAGCTGTTCGCTGTTTTGTCACTTGTCACGGTTAACCGGTTGTGCACTCATCGCTGTAACATAAAAATAATGAGGCGGGTGCGGAAAACTAAAATTTTCTTTCTCAAAGCACAACCACCGGCACCGGCAAGGAGAAACGCACGTTCTCTGACTACATGACTGTACAATACGACTGATACGAGTGTAGTACATGACAAGTCCGTGTGTTGACTAGTTTTCTGAGTCTTGTGTCAGTTGTGACTCGAGTCTTGTACATACTACCCCATACCCCATACCAGCACGGCAGTGCGGGAGTAGTTCCTCTGTGATGAGTTTGTTGACTGCACTACAGCTAGATAACACACTGCACGCACTGCATGCACGCAGCGCAGAGCGCGTAGAGCTAGAGGCTGACGGAAAAGTCCAACTCGGAAACGGCTATAATACGGTATAACCTCCAGGTTTACCGAGCTGAAAATCACAGGGTACGTAGTGTTTGTAACACTGAATCGAATGGTCTTGGTCCGAAGAAGCTGCGACAAACGGTTCCCCAATCGAACGCGCTCCGAATATGGCCATTTTTGTACACAACTAGATGGTGTGGCTACCTGACTGCACGCTGTGACGTCATCACCTAGATCTGGGTGATGCGCGCTCAAATTCGCACATGTTCGATTGGGCGTATCTGACGAACCATAAGCCGCAGCCTCCTCGGACAAAGACCATTCGACTCAGCGACCCGAACTCTACGGACAGTGAAATTTAAATTTTTCACCGGACTTCCCCTTTAACTGTAAAGCAGGGATACTACACTACTACTAGTACTAGTAGATCTACTAGTACTATTATGCTAGAGCCTTAGACTTGTAGAGGGTCTAGGGAGGGACAGGGAGAAGGGACAGGGTCATAGTATATCATAGACATAGGGGGCGACCCCGCTCTCGAAAACTCGACCGGTACTGGCTACTGCATGCAGTCACGATCAATCCAAAATGCGCCATAATTATAATACTTCATAGTGTGCCAGGCGCTAGGCAGGTAATGGTTGGCGGAACTGGGTCTCTCGTGAAAGGTCTACTCCCTGCTCAGAGTCAGAGACACTTGGGAACCAACAAAACTATCTTCAACTACAAAGTACAAGTGTGTAATTACTTGTGTCCGTGTTACTGTTACTCGTCAGTAGTCACTCTGTAACTCACTTTACTACACTGTAGGTCCACTTTTTGAAAACGGCAAAAGCAGAAAATAAAATAAGTGGTCACTCAGCTCAGATGATACTTTAGTTTAAAGGGGAAGTTAAGGCAAAAATTAAAATTTCACCAGTTGTAGTCTTCGGGGTGCTGAGTCGATGGTCTTGGTCCGAGGAAGCTGAGACGCTCCCTTCCTACTTGAATCCCAATCGAACTCGCGCACTTCCACCGAAACTGGGTGACTGCGCCCTACTAGATGGGGATTTGTATGCAAAATGTCACTAAAAGCGCCATTTCGTTCTTATAAAAGCACGGATGACCGCGATTGGCCCATATGTTGTAGTCTTTTGGACGCTGAGTCGACTGGTTTTGGTCCGAAAAGGCTGCGATGCGGCGTTCCTCCTTTATTCCCAATCGAACATGGTTGAAGAAGCGGTCACGTGGTCCTGGGTGCCCAAATCACCTGGTCACCACGCCAGCAGGTGACAACTTTCACACCAAGGTTCAACTCGAGTTCAACTCGAGTGACAGGACTGCAGCCAAAAAAGGTCAAACACTTGAAACAGGCTAGTAAGTTGTACCCTGCAGGCACGGTGACCAGGTGACGTTACTTTATCTGTAGTGTCAAGAGTGCATAAACAAGAGTATGCAACTGTGGTTATGGGTCAGTGCGCGGCGCGCTGCCTTCATTACGTAACTTGCCTTCATCACGCTCTGAAAGCATGCATCCAAACTCTCAATTTCTCGCACGAGCCCATCCGTTTTTGCTCCATTCGTTCCAGTACCTACAAAATCTCTGAATTCTGGTGCGTGAACTCCAGTTCCGTACGAAAGTTCATTTCAAACTGGAGGGAAAGTGCGGTGTTTGATTTTCCGCAGTGCGCGGACTGCAGCTGAATGATGTAATGAAGGCAGCGCGCCGCGCATCTGGCCCATAGAAATTAGAAAAGAGATCACAGTTGCATACTCTTGTTTATGGACTCTTGGTAGTGTGAATGTCCTTCACGGTTTATCGGCATTCACGGTTTGACGGGGTTCACGGTAGTCTGAACGCGCCCTAAGGGGCTAGGCGCTATGCGCGCTAGCTATAGTCGTATATAGTATCGCCTAGTATAATTATTGCATTGTACACTCTACTCTCCATGATGTCATTTTTCCACGTGCCGAGTGCCACTGCACTGGCTAGGCTGCAGGCTGCTGCCAGATTTGCAATGAAACTACTTTGAATGTACAATGTACATGTAGAGGCGACGGTTTCAAATAGGAAATAGGTTGCAAACCGGAACGGACTCAATATTCACTTTCTCTCTTGGTATTTTGATTAGAAAACATATGTCACAGTGAGACTACGATGTGTTATACTCCGAGCCAAAATTTCATGGCTCTGCGATGACCAGAAGCGCCATATCAAGCAGGTGAGTTTTTGACGTGTTGCTTCGCACTGCGACTTGAGTTTTACGACTTTCGAAAAATCAACTTCTTGTCGCAGGTAAACAGCGGCTCGCCTCTCGACAATAAAGCACCGCATACCAATCAAAACTAATGGAAGCACACACAAGGCTTATTGTTACTCTGTACTGGCCGTCGTGGAGCGATAGCAATTACCTAATTTCAGACCCAGAGTGAATTTGACGGGCACTCTAAAACGTGTCCGGTTTGGAGCCACCTCTGATTTGAACTTTTTTGAAGCGAAAAATTGGGCAACTTGGAGGCAATGGGTCAACACAAAGGAGTGGCTCAGTTCGATTGACTCTGGCCCCAGAGCAAACTTCAACATGCCAGTTTCCTTCCACAAACATATTTCGAGTGAAAAATCAACGTTGATGATCGTTTTGGGTCTATACAAATTTGGCTGTCAAAACGTTCCGGTATCGAGCCGTCTCCTCTACAATGAAATAATTGAAGTTTCAAATGAGCATGTCAGAGACTGTATCCCAATGAACAGGTACCGTGGGTGTTGGCAGATGTCCTGAGCTATTGCTGCTTTCGTGAAGTATCACCAGGCTGCAGCTTCTAGCACAGAAGAAATAAAACTGTGGAAGCTGCTGGGCGGATGGCTACATTCAACGAGTTTTGCCAATCCTGCATAAATCAGTTTTGCCGACCAGATTGCAACTATTTCTTGTAGCAACAGCGAAAAGACGTTTGTGCAGTACATACCTTGACCGAGTACTGGCAGGGCCACTGCTCAGCCCAGTATGGCACTAACATGGCTGACATTTCTGTTGGCAGCAGTAATTGGAGTTGTTGCTGGAGTGTTGATTGGCTGCATAGGTGTGGGTGGTGTGGTGATAGTGCCATTGCTCATACTACGTCATGATGTGGACATTCACCTGGCCGTGGTAGCGTGTATGGCTGCGTATGTACCGGCTGGTCTGGCCGGAGCTGTGGCGTATGTGCGCAAACGTGCTGTACCGTGGCACAGCGCCGTCTTCATGTGCTTGCCTGCTGCCCTTGCCGCCCTGCTGGGATCATGGACGTTAGTCAGGCTAAGTGCTCATGTAGTCAAGCTTGTGCTGTACAGCATTATGCTGGGCACTTCCTGCCTGTCTGCTGTACGCTCACTTCATGCTGTTTGGACAGAGAAGAAAGCCGAGCAGCCCAGATCTATAGCTGGAACCCGAGACACGATTGCGTCGGGTATGTCAGGCTTTGATCGTCAAAGCAATAGTGGCGCTGCTAGTCTGGGTGAGGACTCAACTGCATTCGATGATGGAGTGCATAGTATGGAACAGGAGCAGGCACGGCTGATGGCACCTGACGGGGACGAGAAGGCTGCTGGTCCTGGTATTCTTTCACAGAATGGCAGAGAGAGACCGGTGGTGGTGGCGGGTGCGAGCACTAATCACCGCCAGTAAGCAGCATAAACCCATAAAGCACTTGTGAACATACTATGGATACAACTACAGTGGAAGTCCGATCATAGTAAGACATGATACCCGCATGGGTTTTATCCGACCATACTTCAATATGCACCAGTATACTGGTGCCCTGACAATATCCTTGGTATGCAGAGCTAGAGGTACGCCTTATCAGAGTACGTGCTGGGTGAGTTCCACTGCATACTGAATCAATTGACCTGTCACTATAGCTTGTCGTCTCCTCTTGCCTATTTGCCCAGGGTAGCCTCAGACACCAGTACGGACAAAGCTATGTGCTGCTTTGGATCACTAACAGGTATGGTGACCATATTCAAGTCTGATGCTGAGGTGCAGTTGTGCTAGGAGATAATAATTATGATTGAGTCGTGATTGACTTGTACGAACCTTCACAGTGGTTCAGTAGGGCTGGTGGCCTGGTTGGCTTGTTGTACTGTAGCCTCTTCAAGTACTGCTACACAATCATGCTTCTCATTCTAGTATTGGTTGTTCCAGTATCTTCATGAATCTTGAAAAAGAGTCTTTGCACTTGTGTTCACCCACTGTGTAATCGCACAGCCCGTATGTCCTGCTGTAATCACGGACATAGTAGTAACGTTATGCTTAGTATTGAACATAGTAGTAACGTTATGCTTAGTATTGAACAGCACTATCTATGGACAGTGTATCTGTTGATGTCCTCTCAAGGGAACTGTTGGTGTGATTGTGCTATAGTAAGTTATCTGTCTCCATCTCCTGTTATTCTGGGCGGCTAGGTGTACAGCTTGTGCAGGCTTTGCTGGTCGGCATGCTGGCGGGATTTGGTTCAGCACTGACTGGCACAAGCGGTCCAGTACTTCTGCTTCCCATGCTCTTCATTCTTCTCTGGCCTGCTCTTCCTGCTCTTGGGTAAGTTACTTGAAAGTTGTTCTGGCTAGATTTTTAAGTATAGACAGCACCCTTCCGTGCCGCTCATCATCAAAAAAGGGTTTTCAAATGTTTGTGACGAAATCTAGCGGGAAAGTAATTCAACAGGCTGTTCATCTAGGCAAGAGTACATGAAAACCAGAGTGTGCAGCTTGGGGCCTTTTCTGCTATGGGTGTCTGTCACGGCGAAATTCCATGATTACATCATATTTGGCGCAGATCAGAGGCGGGAAATGGCGTAGTGCGTACAACTGAGCTGCAGTTGTGCAGAAAGAGACCTGCTTGAATCCTGCTTGTACGCACTACATCACTAAAATGATGTAATCACGGAATTCCGCCGTGACAGCAACCCATCCGAGCTGCACACTCTGGTTTTCATGTACTCTTGATCTAGGTGATAGACTTTGAGTAGAGTAAGGACAGTGAGGATGCCAGTGAGGATGTACACGCACACGGTTGTTGATATTAACACATTCTACAAGTGTAGTATACTATAGCACATCCTGTTCATCCTGTTTCACCTACTGAATTCATGTTCCTGACTTTTTTCATCTCCCCTGCCGATCATATGCACCCCCCCCCCCCCCCCCCCCCCCACATACACACACATACAAACACACACACAGCTGTGCTCAGGTTATTCAAGTGCCGATCGCCTGTGCAGCGACTGTAGGCAACTTGTTCTTCGCAACATCTCAAGTTGATCTCCATGACATGTTTAAGCTCGGTAAGTTTGCCAAGAAGCTGGTGTTTTCCATGGGTGTGCACGTACGAACCATCCGGTACTGGAGAAGATTTTTTTGTTTGTAAAAACTTCCGTTTAGCACAAACCGTAAAGTAACCGCCAGAGCGCCCCACCATCTCGTCCTTTCGTGGTCGTATTGTGGAGGTGGTCTCCTGCCTGTTGGTCATACAACACGAACTTTGTACACATATTGCACGTTGTGCAGACAATCCGTACCTTCGAGCGGACATGAACTCCACACAAAAATCTGCTTAGTGTGACCTTAGTGCACTAAAGTTCTCACACAGTACAAACTTCGTTGCCCTCTACCATACGATTTTCTTTTCCCTGGCTGTAAAATCAAGGTGGGGTGCTCTCGCGAGACGGGGCGCTCTGGCGGTACTTTACGGTATTTCCCTCCAGGAACACAATTGTGGACCCTCGCCCTATGTCCTCCATGCTGTGTACACAGCCATTTTTGTTCAGAATTAAATTTTGCTCATTCAGGATGCGAAACAAAATTAACTAAAGTGAATTCCGAACGAAGATCTGCAGTGTTACTTGAGATCATGTTGTCCACCTATCCATACCATAGTTCTACTTGTACAACAATTTTATCAGTCTTGTAACTTTTCATAGCATGTTGCTTGGTCTATAAGCTCAGCAATACGTTGGAACTTTTTTTTTTTAAATTACGGACACCTCAGGGACAAGACATAATATACTGTATAGCAGGAAATTTTCGGACGGAATTTATTTTCGGACGATTTCGTACACGGCCTCTTTTGTACTAAAATTAATTCCGTACTAAAATTTGTTCATGTGAAATTATGTACACTATACATGCATGCTCCTTGCGAACACGTGTATTTAGCATGCAGCACTGTACGAAAATAAAATCCGTACAAAAGGTCGAAATTTGGCTTTGTCCGAAAATATTTCCGTCCGAAAATTTCCTGCTATACAGTAATCTTATACTGGTTTGTTTGTCTGGATTGTAAAGTGCTGGCCATCGAAATCCAACCCTATGAATAAAGTAGCGCCGCGTTCGAGTGGACAGACCAGTACGTGTAGTGCTGGGGCTGCGTAGCGCCCGGCACTACTTTATTCATAGGGTTGGATGTATTTGCCCGGTACTGTAGAATGCGTTGCGACTTGGTTGAGAACAGTTGGGAGTAAACCGTTGTGCCGCCGTGAGTGTGGAGATAGCCACCATCAATAGTATCCCCCCCCCCCCCCGCGCACTATGGGAGATTATATTGTACAGTAGGTATCGGTTGTAGCGTGGGTGTTTGAAAACAACTATCTGTTCTTATTTCCGATATTTCTTACACACGATTAATTAAGTGTGACATATCATATTCATGTTCGCGGAGGTTGGAAGGCCATCATACATGTTCTTAGGACCGATATATTCTCCTATGCGATAACATTGCTTGTAAGAATAAATGTTTACTTGAAACCCATGGTATGATTATGAAAACATAAGAGTTCATTCTTGTATGCAGTATATTCTTTTAGACGACCACACTATAACCGATATGCACTGTGCCTCAATGCAGGAATGTTTTTCACTTCAGCAGTGTTCTTCCAGTAGACGACAACTTCGGGCGGCGTTGTTTGTGGTGAGAAATCTGGCTTGCACTACTTTTTAGAAAGTAGTTTGAAAGCAAGAGCTTGCCTGTGCTATTGATTGTTTGTTCATGCACAGCTGGATGCGTGGCTGCTGGACTGGTGCCATTTGTCTTTGTTGGTGCTGCGATAGCCGATCACCTTCCACAAAGGTATGCAGATAACAGAAAGTCGTATGTAGCTACCAACAATAAATGTATAAACTCCATAGTTGGTAGAGTGTCGACTTTTTGGATTCACAGCTTCCAGCATGAGAATCAGGTCACTACTGCGGAATCCAATGCTCGGGGATTGCTGTGGCTTTACATATTTTTCAGTGCATCTCTTTCAATAGCCGAACAAATACTGACAAACATCATCCTGTAGGGGACTGCTTCTCTGTTCTCTGTACTCTGTACTTGAATTCCCTGTTCAGCTAACCTGGTCTTATGCCTTCATACCTAACTAAAGGTTTTAGCCACTAAAATTTCTGAAATTAGAGTAAAATTCCTGAAACTTGGCCCGTCGTAGCTGACTTAGTGTTTTTGGCGAGAAACGAATGCTTATCGTCTGGAACTAGCTTTTGTTTCCATATTTGCAAGGTAGATCAACGTATCGCTAGCAGAGAAGAGAGAGAGAGAGAGAGAGAGAGAGAGAGAGAGAGAGAGAGAGAGAGAGAGAGAGAGAGAGAGAGAGAGAGAGGGAGGGAGGGACGGAGGGAGGGAGGGACGGAGGGAGGGACGGAGGGAGGGAGAGAGAGAGAGAGAGAGAGAGAGAGAGAGAGAGAGAGAGAGAGAGAGAGAGAGAGAGAGAGAGAGAGTACACACATTGCCATCCTGATGATCATGTACTAGTAAACCTGTCGTTCCTTACCAATGGTGTGTCCACGGATCCTCCTTTCACTTCTAAGGTGCAGATGATGACATTATTGGTTTGCTGGTTGTTACCTATTGCTGTTGCCTGTTGTTCATACAGAACACTCAAGATCACTGTTGCTCTACTGCTAGTTGTTGCGAGTCTGGTGCTGCTGCTCAGAGAAGTTCTATAGACACCACTGAAGTAAGATGATACCAACGTCAAGTTCACTGGCCTCCTAATTGATCAGTATTGCCAGAGTGACACACTGCGGTGGCATGCCTACAACATCATACCATTGTCATCAGTGTTGCTTCTCACTGCAGCAATGAATCGGAGAGCTACGTGCTTATGTAGCATGCACAAGGCATTAGTGGTGGTGAGACCATGCACTGATTACTCCAGCCAGAACCCTACTATCTGCCCAGTCACGGCACCGGGACCATTACCAGTCCGTCCGTAGTTTGTCCATGCGCTACTCCAGTGAACTTCAAGCATGCTGCATACTACATACTACAGAACTCCGGCAGTAAGCTGTCACCTTCGCCCATCATGTATGACGATGTGCCGACTCTTACAAAACTCTGGCAATTAAGGCCGATTCATACTTCATTTCGCGTACAAGAAAAGCGTCGCGTCGCGAAAAAGTTGATCTGAGCTCAACTATTTCGCGTACGGGAAAGCCGTAAAAGCCGACTTTCCCGTACGCGAAATGAAGTATGAATCGGCCTTTATGCATCGCTGCACAAGGCCTCATTTCACTCGTTCCGAAGTCAAGTTTGGCTACCGTTTAGTTGCCTTGAGATTGAGATTTCTACTTATAGACTAAATGCTAAACAGAACTGGAGGCCATGGCAGGGCCAGGGTAACTCCGGTACTGTTTGCGACTAGGTGGCAGTTTTAACTTTTTATTTGAAGCCATGGCCCGAGGTCATGATACCCATTTCCAAACCCACCATATTATTCTATTTACTCGAAGTAAGAATTTTTTTAAATGTGCACCAACTCGTCTGGTGATTGTACTTATGTCAAGTACCTTCGAAAGAAAATGAGCTGCCTCTCCTGTGAGCTGGTTTGTAAGCCTGGTGTTGTTTTGTAGTAGTAGTAGTAGTAGTAGTAGTAGTAGTAGTAGTAGTAGTATTTATTATTTGACTAGGGGAGTCCCAACAGGCATGGCCTTGTTACAGGGAACCCTAGGTGAATCTTTGTGAGGTGAGCAAAAGTACCAGCAGATTGTGCCTGACGACAGTTTGGAGGAAGAGTGTTCCACCGACCTGCCGCCAGAAAAGAAACTGAGCGCAGTCCATACCCAATATGTACAGTAGGTAATACTAAGGCAGCTGTATCCTGGCCACGAGTACGAGCATTTGTGTGCGGGCCAACTGAACGCAGGAGAAACAGTGACTGAAGGAGGGGGCTAGTAATTGATGACAAGCAGCGATAGACCAAAACGTATAGTTTCAAATTAACTCGTTGCTCAAACGAATACAGATGACATCGTTGTAAAACTAATGCAGTTGGGGTCATTCTATCTAAACCAAATGCCTTCTTCATCGCAATATGGCTGACCGTTACAAGCCTGTTATATAGGGTAGTTTTCAAACAGTGCACATACGCATTACTTGCATATTCTAGAGTAGACTGTATAATTGACAAGAAGAAAGTTCTCCGAGCTGTAGCTGATAAATTGCGACGGCCATGAGCAAAACAGGCTAGTTTAGCGAAGACCACTGAACACACCTTTTCTACTTGTGGGCGGAACGTTAGATGCTCATCGATTAGTATACCGAGGTATTTCACAGTAGAGACAGGGGAAATGACAATACCTTTACAGGTCAGGTACAGGGCTGGGCTCAGTGCAGGCAGGGCAGGATGCCGTATCAACATGAACTGTGTTTTAGTGGGGTTGAGCAGAAGGCCTTTCTCATCAAGGTATTGCTCTAGCAACCGCATACTATCCTGCAAGTGTAGCATAATTGTAGCCACATCAGAGCCGAATACGTAGAACGCAATATCATCAGCGTACAGCTGCACGACACTCTGGTGAAATATATCGGGTACCCGGCGAATGTAGACGCAGAAAAGCAAAGGCCCAAGAACAGACCCCTGGGGGACCCCTCTTGTACAGGGTTTGGTGTCACCCTTCTCACCATTGACAGTAACCTGCTGGCTGCGGTTCGTGAGATAGTCTGAGAACCACTTGAGGACAGTGCCGCCTAAGCCAGTGGTGGCTAGCTCTCCCAGCAGACCTGTGTGCTGCACACGGTCAAACGCCTTGCTCATATCCGCAAAGACTACTCCGCATTGGTCACCGTTGTCAAGTGCTCTGTTCCATCTGTCTATGCAAAGTGTCAGGGCATCCTCACAGCTATGGTGTGAGCGGTACGCAAATTGTTCAGCTGGTATGGCTGACAGGTCTGGATTCTGGGTGAAATACGAAGTGACTTGCTTGTGGACAACCTTCTCTAGGATCTTGGCCGCGATAGGCAACAGTGAGATTGGCCTGTAGTTGGTGGCTGAGGTCTTATCACCAGATTTGTAAACAGGGCAGACATGGGCATGTTTGTAGGCAGCAGGAAAGATGCCAGAGCGAAGAGACTGGTTGACGATAACAGTTAACGGATACGAGACTGAATCTCTGCAGGATTTCAGGATGCAGGACGGAATATCATCGGAGCCGGTGGCTTTGTTGGATACCAGAGATTCAAGCAACTTGGAGATGGTATCGACGCTGACGGTATCAAACTCCAAAAGAGTAGTGCTATTGGGGTCTGCAACGGGTAGGGGCAGCTCGACTGGTCTGGCAGGGTCATGGACGATCTCGGCGAAGGTAGTTGTCAGATCGGCGAGTGTGGCTGCTGGGGCAGCCCTCACTGCTGTTCTACCAGACAAGCTATTGATAATGGCCCATTGGCCTCGTGGGTCATGGCGACGATTTTTGAACTCTCTGATGTAATACTGTGACTTCAGCTGCCTGTTGAGGAGAGTGCCTTCTCGCCGTATTGCACGATACCTCTGCAGAAGCTGTTGATCTGACGGGTGAGTGCGTACTTTTCTATGTAGGTGGATTCGTTGCTGGAGGAGGTGTTTCAACTGAGGTGTCACCCATGGCTGAGGCTTCGGTTTACTGAAAGCTGGTGAGACCACGGGGCAGATCGGTGAATGTTTGTCTAAAACTCGAGTAATACAGTGTGAAAGCTGGGTGACTTGTGCATTGACATCAGCTGACTTGGGGAGAGGCTCCAGAGTGCTGTCGATATCATCACAGAGTGTAGCGGGGTCAATTGCATGTGGGAGCGGTTTGCGCACGAATTTGAGGCGGGAGTTAGCTTGCTGCGTGGCTTTGTAGGAGAAGTTAGTCAGAACGAGATCATGGTCGCTCACGCCGTCTACAGATACTACAGTTGTCTTAACATGTGGTGCGGCAGCATAAACGAGTATTAGATCCAGACATGTCTTGGCAAGTCGCGTTGGTGAAGTCACGACATTGCGGAGGTGAAACTCCTCACACAGATTGGACAGGTGCTTGTAATGGTGGTTATTTGATGATTGCTGTAGCACATCAGTGTTAAAGTCCCCTAGTACAATAATCCTGCTAAATTTACGGCTGATGACGTCAAGATGCTGACTGCACAGGTTCCAGAAGTCGACAGTTGCACTCGGTGGACGATATATACTGCACACAGCCAGCTCAATAGCCTTAGGTTTGGTACACAGGCGAAGACGAACAGAGACACACTCCACTCCTAGCTCAGTGATGGGAATTCTGATAGAGTGAATATCAGAATGGACATAAATGCATACCCCTCCACCATGTAGATCTCTATCCTTGCGATATAGATCGTAGCCTGGTATATGAACACTAGAATCGGGTATGCTGCTGTTTAGGTGGGTTTCATTCACTGATAGCACGTGGATCTTATGGTGGTGCAGGAGATGGTGAATGTGATGGACCTTGTTTCTGAGACTACATATATTAATGTGAGATATGGTGAGTTGGCTTACTGGAATGATGACTTCTTGCTCTTCGGGTAGCAGCACAGGTACGCATATTGGTTTAGGTGTTCTGGTTTGTTTCACGAAAGTCCCACGGGCGAATGTGTATTGGTGCTGGCCAGAACCCATCCTTCTCGATCAGTGCACATTGGTCCTCTCGGATCGTAAGCCGTGCAGCCTTTGTACCAATATGCTTACGAGAGGGAAAGGTGCGGCATGCTGTTGGTGTGATACCATTGTGCTTGCAGTGGGCTATTATGGTATCCGCGGTGCAGCTGCTGTCAATGTTACCAACAAAGTATACTTTTCGGAGTGAGCCAAGTGATCCTTTCAAATTGCGGTTAGTAACCTCAGTCCATTCCTCATCGTTTGGCTGCTGCTGCTGCTGTTGTTGTTGTTGTTGTTGCTGCTTCTGGCGCTGTTGTTGTTGTTTTTGTTGTTGTTGTCGCTGTTGGGGTCGTTGGTGCTGGTTAGTTTGCTGGCGGTGCTCCTGTGGGAGAGGTGGCTGCGCAGTGACCGATGGCTTGGAGGAGGGCCGAAGTGCTCCGTTGTCACTGGAGCTATTGAGCACTGATGCCCATACGCGCTGCTGGGTCGTGGATCTGCAAGTGCTACAACTTGTAGTCGTATCCATGTGGTTGGCTTGCTGCATTTGCAGCCCATGTGCACCCGGCTTGGATACGGTATCGCCCGCCTTTTTGAATGGGGTCGGTGCAGTGTGTTGTACATGCTCTACTGACTTGAGGCGCCCTTGGTTGGCTTGCTGCATTTGCAGCCCACGTGCACCCGGCTTGGATACGGTATCGCCAGCCTTTTTGAGTGGGGTCGGTTCAGTGTACATGTGTTGCATATTATGCTCTACTGACTTGAGGCGCGCTTCCTGTTCCTTACACTTGTCCTCCAGCGCAGATATACGGGAATCTGATTGCACCGTACTAATAGGCGTATGCGTGTGTGCAAGGTCAGCTTGCTCTTTTCTAATCATGGAGAGTTCCCCTTGCATGTTGACGATTGCCGAGGAGATCCCTGAAAAAACTTCCTGAAGGGCGGCCAATTCAGCCTTGACTGGCCCAACTATTTCGGTCTTGATGCTTTCGATCAGGCCATTGACATCTAATATGGAGTCTTCGGGAGGCGAGATAACCTCTAAGTCACTTACCGGCGACTTGCTGCCTGCATCTCGACCGCATTCCGTGGGGTGTGTGGTTCTGCCCGCAGAACACACGTTCGCCTCTCCAGTAGAGTCACCAGCAGACCGAGAGCAGCAATGTTTGAGCTTGCGCTTGTTATTGTATTGCGCAAAGAATCCATCTCGCGGCATCTCCACTTAGAAACCGGTATTGTACGACTCCCTTATACAATACTGGTATTTTATGGTTTTTGTCGACTTCCTGCCTGCTGGTTAACCAGAGCAGCAGCAGGCCTGTATTATGTTGTGCATGTACGTGGCAAGCAATGGCCTGAGCTTACGATTGCCGAGCCGTTTTGAGGAAATGTGAAACCGGTGTAAAGTATTAAATAAAAGGTTCTTCAACTAAAACACACCTATCAAATTGTACAAGAAAGGACTAAAGAAAAGACTATAGTCACACTTCCAAAGAATATGAATGAACTTCTGTAAAAAAGAATAGAACGGATAGAAATGGATGCTGTGTTTGTCAGCGCTAAGCATTGCCTGGTGCAATCAATCATTGTTCATAACCTTTTTCAACTCCTTCTCAACCTGTTCTACGAATGCCGGAAAGTTTGAGTCAGACAGGCACAGATGTAACACAGTACGCATCTGGTGCGTGGGCCAGTTTGTACCAGATGTAGTCAAACGCTTGAATGCTTCGCTCAGCGGCAGCTCTTCCTCAGATGCTGGTAAGACGAGATGTCTGGCCAAGCTTCCCGTACTCATTCTAAGGGGACCAGCAGACATGCTGCTATTGCTGCTGGTAGGAGTGGTGCCACTGCGTACTATGCCAGCGCTGGGTGTTGCGAGTGTTGCTATGCCGGCCTGATGGGAAGGCAACATTGTGGAAGATGGCGCTGTAGCTGCACCTACTGTCTGCTTCCCGACTGAGGATGGCTGATATGTGTTTGGACGACTGTTGTCTCTGGATGGCGGTATGTCTTGATCGTCCGCTTCTGAGGACAGCTCTTTGATGTCTGTATATGACTGTAGCAAGGATATACAGCGCTCGCAAGCCTCCTCATTGCTCTCCTCTTCATCACCCTGGAATCGTACGCGAAATCTTCGATTTGTCTGCCCAGGGTTGAGTGACACAAACAGAAGACTGTCTCCTTTTCGCGCAATTCTCAGCCACTTGTGTGCATTCCATAGCATGAGGTTTTCCAGAATTTCTCTGTCGACTCCGATCAACAGGTGGCCTCCCTCCAGTATACTCAGACTCAACTCTCCATCATTCTCACCTGCTGTGCTGCCATAGTGTTTCCATGTTCCTCCTGTTGTAGCGGCAGTACTGGATTGTCCGCCTCCATGCTCTATCGGAACAAATCGAGCATACTTGTGCAACCGCCACACCTGCCGCTTCTCAGATCCAGACTTTGCCTGGCTCCCTGGGTTTGGCTTCGCCACATCAATTAGGGAGCATACGGTTGACTGTCTCAGCATAGCAACCCTGCGGAACTGTACTCCGCTGTGTTAGTGTAGCAGTGATACAGCGAACTCTGTCACGATGGACATGGGAAATCAGTAATGCAAAAAATCCCCAATAGCTCATCAATTGCAATTGCTGCTGTTAGAACTGCCGCTCACGGCCCTATTCTAGACTAGGGATAGTAAGCGATACTATTGTAGTGAAAAGTCACAACAAACTGGAACAATGACAGAAGCTCGGAGAAGCACAAACGGACTCAGCACAAAACGTGTCCTTGTCTACAACTTAGTACAAGTCAATAGTCAATAGTCATTCCTAGTTTTTGTAGTCGGTCGACCGGTCCGCTCATATTTATAGCATCAAGAGTAGATAAACAAGAGTGTGCAACTCCGGATCTCTCCTGCACAATCTGCAGATACCCCGCGCCCACGGCGGAATTTTTTGTTTACGTCACCTTTTTTCAGAGAAACGCGGCTTTGCCGCAGAGCAGTGTGAGAGCACGTGCTGGGCACCGACCTTGTAGTGTAAAGCGCAGCCAAGTGCACGAGGGAAAACTCTCCAAAAGGCTCGCAGCGCGTGCGTCGTCGAAAAGATTACGTCAACAAAAAATTCCGCCGTGGGCCAATCCATCCGGAGTTGCACACTCTTGTTTATCTACTCTTGATAGCATGCATGCAGTGGATTTGTCGGTATATTTGATGCGCATGCGCACTGATTGACCTCTTGAACTCGGAATGAACCAGTGCAAGTGCAGTCTACTACTTGTAGTACCGCGTACCGGATCGGAAGGAGCTTCCGTAGCCGCGTAGACCAATCAACGCTACAGCTACATGTAGATCTAGCCCAATTTGTACTTGCGAATTCAAATAAAAATATACATACAGATCTACATGACTGCACTTCGACTCTGTACTTCTACCATCGCGGCATCAGATCTGGTGAACCCGACCGGGCCACGGCCCCCCCCCCCCCGGGGGGGGGGGGGCTTGTACATCATCACGTATGCATGTAGACAGTAGAGGTCTACTGTCGACATGTCATGCATGCAGGGAGTCGTCAAATACATGTACGAGTACAGGTATTTGAGGAGTCCACTCCCTACTTGTAAGTCAATTTTAGTGTAAGTAAGTAATAGTTAGTTGTAGATCCCTGGTGTCATAGAAAGGACCATCATGGATTTTTCAATAAAGTTCTTTGCGACATGCGACGAGAAAGGTGATAATTATGTCACTTGTCAGCCAACTGATCTCACACCACAAATCATGTACATGTACATGTACAGTGGCGGATCCAGGGGGGGGGGGGGGTCCGGGGGTTCCATGGAACCCCCTAAATTAATTTTGCAAAGTGTGCGGCTGAGAAATATCGAAAAATATCATGTGTGCACAAAACTTCAAAAGGACGTCCGTCCGATCACAGTCAGTGGCAGTCACCTGGTCACTGAGTCAAGGAGCACAGACTGTCACTGTGTCAGTCAGTGTACTGCATGCGCGTGCGGTAGATCGATACTGTACGGATAGTAGTCTGTACTGGTGTTCACATCCGTGAAAATATACAAACGGACACTGACAACATTGGATGGTTGTTTCCTTTTTGATCTTTCGAAACGATCCAAACTTACCTCCATTGGCGCTGTCATTCACTGCTGCTCAGGATGAGTGTGGTGTGGTCAGTATTCCTTGGACAAGTTTTTTGCACAAGAGAAAGGATGTTCCGAGTACTGACACTCTTCAACGTACTTCGAACCGTACACGTAGAGTTCAAGCTCCTCAGAATAATTATAATAATCTTTATTTCAAGATTACCCAAAGGCTGACGCCTATCAAGATGAGGGCTCCGACATCCAAGCAAAGTCAGTAATCTCTACCTGCTGCAGCATGCAGTAGTGACTAGTTGTTCCTCCGCAGGAACAGAGTGCTGCGCCAGATGTGTTTCAGATGACATTGGAAGGATTGTACAATTGTCGACACTGTTCCGCTATTGTTGTTTCTGTCACTGAATTGAAGTGAAGACGGTGCTCTTGTCCTGTGACTATAGAGCATTTCGCATCGTAAAAATGCCAAAAATTTCCGAAAGCACAAATGGACAGGGAAAGTAACTTAGTTGTCATTTCGGCATTCCTGGCTCTCAACGTACCCATGGCTTGCATATTCGATCTTTAAAAGAAGTTGAAAGGGTCTTCCGTACTAAATAATATGCAATGTAGGGTAAGTAGCAGCATTTGGCCCTGTACAGGTTTTCCATCGTCCACAACACCACAACTGCGCTCCGACTCAGTCTCCAGCGATGGTGCAGTGGTGGTGTGCTGTGGCAACGTGTCGAGGCCGGCTGGAGAGCGCAGTTGTGGTGTGGTCGATGATGGAAAAATATAATAATTATTATGTCCGTAGTATGTTTTAAAAGCATGCGGTTCCACTAACACAATCGCGTATATATCGGATTGTCGTTATTACAAGTGCCAAGCGCACATCTGATTCCATAATATTTTGGCTGTTCAATTTTGGTTCAACCGGAACCCCCCTGTAGAGATCTCTGGATCCGCCCCTGATGTAGATCTACTAGTAGTACTAGTACATGGAGTAGATCTACCACGCCACACAAGGCTAGGCTGAGCACTGTACTAGTATTAGTAAGCAGTCAACCACTACTAGGGAGGAAACCTGGTAACGGTCACACGAAATACCACACCAAGATCATGACATGGGCACTTTTCACAGCTAGCTAGCTGTGTCTTTCGCAGTTTCGACGTTTCGTCACACGCCGCGCCATTTCACTTCAAGAGCTCAAGACCAAACGCTCATTTTCTCCTCAGTTGAAAGACAACAGCTCAGTATCGTATGCGTAGCAGAAGGAAGTAATTTCTTTAATTTTATTTCTTGGACCTCGTTTCCAACAAGCTTACCCTTTTCTTACAACTTGGAGTGACACCTTCAAGTAGTAGAGACCCCGTACAATCGTGTTCTTGTCATGTCCAGACGCTACTGGTGTGTGATGTTTACGTGTGTACGGAATACCATGACCTGCCGTAACCCTTCGTGGTGGTACATGTACTGATGTAGCCTATCGACGCAGTCACGCAGAAACCGAACGGCACGCAACTAATTTCCACTGTGCATGTATCGTCGACGGGAGCAGAGAGACCAGCGCCGGATGTCGGAAGTATTATTACTATTATTAGTTGCATGCGTGGAGCCAGAATCTGCCCAGTCCGCCCTTGCAGCGTTCGCCCGACACGGGCTGATACTAGTGATAAGCCACCAGCCAACTGACCGTCAGGTCATCTCAAAGCAACTTCTTGCAGCCCGAATGGAAAGCGTGCGTCTACATGGTTGGCTCTGCTCTGAAACACAACACGGTGTGTATTCGCTAACACAAAAGCCAGGATATCATGCAGGTATGTAGCCCGTAACTGTTTTTTCTGCACAATTACCGGTACCACTAAGTATTAAAGGGGAAGTTAAGGCAAAAATTAAAATTTCACCAGTTGTAGTCTTCGGGGTGCTGAGTCGAATGGTCTTGGTCCGAGGAAGCTGAGACGCTCCCTTCCTACTTGAATCCCAATCGAACTCGCGCACTTCCACCGAAACTGGGTGACTGCGCCCTACTAGATGGGGATTTGTATGCAAAATGTCACTAAAAGCGCCGTTTCGTTCTTATAAAAGCACGGATGACCGCGATTGGCCCATATGTTGTAGTCTTTTGGACGCTGAGTCGACTGGTTTTGGTCCGAAAAGGCTGCGATGCAGCGTTCCTCCTTTATTCCCAATCGAACATGGTTGAACGTACACCAGTCAGCTGGTCACCCTGCCTGCAGGGTACAACTTACTAGCCTATTTGACCTTTTTTGGGTGCAGTCCTGTCACTCGAGTTGAACCTTGGTGTGAAAGTTCTCGCCTGCTGGCGTGGTGACCAGGTGATTTGGGCACCCAGGAGCACGTGACCGCTTGTTCAGCCATGTTCGATTGGGAATAAAGGAGGAACGCTGCATCGCAGCCTTTTCGGACCAAAACTAGTCGACTCAGCGTCCAAAAGACTACAACATATGGGCCAATCGCGGTCATCCGTGCTTTTATAAGAACGAAACGGCGCTTTTAGTGACATTTTGCATACAAATCCCCATCTAGTAGGGCGCAGTCACCCAGTTTCGGTGGAAGTGCGCGAGTTCGATTGGGATTCAAGTAGGAAGGGAGCGTCTCAGCTTTCTCGGACCAAGACCATTCGACTCAGCACCCCGAAGACTACAACTGGTGAAATTTTAATTTTTGCCTTAACTTCCCCTTTAAGCATTTGATTTGTGCCACACCGTGACCGAAGGAAGCAGTGCCGGTGGTGTCCAAACTACTGAAGACAGGAGGGGGTGGGACGGTAGGGAATTGCGGCCCAGTGAATCTGTCCAGGGCCGGACCGCTCAAGTGGACTCCAACTGCCCAAGCTCAGTGGCTGTGTGTATATTATCCGTTGCCAATTTGTGGACAGCTTCTTTCACTAACTTATTCCACTCACTAAGGCCCGGATCGTTTGGTCGAATCCAGATCCAGATCCGTATGATCCACTTGATCTGCAGTGATCGATTGGTTGAATCCCGATCCAGATCCATCAGATTTGGATCCAACGAATTCGTTTTTTGCCAAAAACAAGACGTGTGTACTTGTTTGGCGGGTAACAATCATTGATATACGCATTTAGTACACATACACGATTAAAAGAGATGCACCATGCAGATAAGTATGACAAGTACGAACCTGGAGTAACTTTTTGTGGTTTTCTACAGTCGTCGCCAAAAAAATCCGGCCAATGCCATGGATACATCCGGCCAATGCCATGGATACATCCGGCCAATGCCATGGATACATCCGGCCAATGCCATGGATACATCCGGCCAATGCCATGGATACATGTACAGTGGCATGGTGCCTGTCACATGCATGCATTTACAGACAGTAGAGGGTCTACCAGCATAGCACTGAGCACTGAGCACTGAGCACTGAGCACTGAGCACTGAGCTAAAGCAGTCCACGCTGCACTCTATAGCTCTACCTGCTGCAGTCGAGCACAGCACGGAAGTCTGTGCATTGCAGTGCAGAGTGCAGGCCAGGTAGCAGAGCATGTGCCGTGCCACTACTGGCACTAGGCTAGCACTAGGCTAGCACTAGCGGTGGCAGTGCATACGGCCACGTACAGCTACCCGTAGCTAGCATAGCATTGGCCGGATTTTTTTGGCGACGTCTGTACCTCAACATGGTCACGGTAGCAGTGTGTTCCGAATGTGATAGGTTGATTCTGAGGTATCCAGTGGATC